GTTGCGTCAGAAGAGCGAATCCATCCGGCTACTATCCAAGCCCCTGGCCGAGCAGCAGCTGCAGCAGCAGCATCACTTCCAGCAGCCAACGCATTCGTTGGCGGGCTACTATGGAGCAGCGGGAGAAGCTGGCATGGATCCCAATGGTGTGATCATGGTAGAGGCCAATCCTCGACCCATTCGCAATAGCCAGATTCCGAATGCTCCGGCAAACGTAGCAGCTGCAGCTTCTGCTGCTAGTGCCAGCGGTAAATCGTCGAGGCGTCGCCGTCGCAATCGCGGAAAGTCCGGAGCTGGAAGTGGCATAGCCAGTGCAAGTTCTGGAGCTGCTAACAAGCAACGATCCGGTGGTGAAGTCGACGGAGGGTCGGGAATTGGTGTGCCCACAGCTTCAATTGAAACCAGTGCTGGCGGCAATATAATCACACTGCGCAATCCCATGTTCCACCAGGGCAATAATGGAGGAGCGGCCAGTGGCGGTATATTGCCACCCAATCCCAATCCAATTCCGGCGGGTGAGTAGACAATAAGTACATATATGACAATATACAAGGAAAAATATCGATTATAAATTGAAAAGATAAGATCTCGGATACCCATAGAGATTTTTCCATTTAAATTATATTCAAAAAAAAAAAAAAAAACATATTTTGCAGTGCGTAACTTTGCTGGTGCTGGTCTACCCATTGCTGCCCCACCAATGGCCATGGATCAGCCGGCTGCCATAATCAAGAACGATAACGGTATGTTCACCATACGCAACCCGGCACTGCACCAGGCAGTGACCAATGGCCTTGCGATGGGCGGCTACCGGCAGTTTGGCAGTAATGTCAACTACTACACTCCACAAGAGGCTGTGGCGGAGGCGGCTCGAGCCGCACAGCACAAGCAACAGCAACAGGCGCAGGTATCAGCTGCCAACAGCCAGGCTAGCAACAACAACGGCAGCTCCACCTTCTCCTACTTCTCGAGTGGATCGTCCAGTGTGAACAGCAGCGGGAGCAGCAACAGCGGCGCTGGCGGCAGCGGCGGCGGGACGCACAACAATATCAGTATTAGCTGTACAAACGTTCCACCAAACAGCGGCAACAGTCCTGGAAGATTGGTCGGCGAGGCGGCGGTGATTGCCCGGCCAAAGCACTCGCAACAAAAGTGTCTGTCTGCCATCGGTAGCGAGCTGAAGCAAAAGACCAAAGACAGCAAATGGCCATGCTTTGCCCCACAACAGCAGCAGCAGCAACAACAACAACAGCAGCAGCAGTCGTCGTCGGCAGACTACCACCCAGCGTCTGGAGGAGGCGGAAGCGTTCCACTGCAAGAAAAGTACCAGCAGTCAAGTTACTACAATGGCTTCGAGGTCTTTTCGGCTGCATCGCCCGGTGGCCCGTCGCAGGTATCATCTAGCGTCGGCGGCGGCGGATCGAGCGAATGCCACATGCATCACAGCTGTGGCGACGACTCTCCGCCGCCAACCATCACCGGTTTCAATTCCTACCTGGAGGGCATACCCAACACCGGAGTCATTCGCTACGACGACGCCGCCTTTCTCAAGAATCTTATACCGGGCCAGCATCTCAACAATGAGGTGCGTGACATCTATGGTTGCTGGCCATTGGGCCAGCCGTTGTATCCATACTGTCCGGAGTGCATTCTGAATCATCTAAAGTGCTCATTTCTTTCATATTTAACACACTGATCATTGGTACAACTTTTGATTTTGAGCTAACATTCACGAAAAATAAACTGGTGGGCGTGGGGCTAAGTTTATTTACTATTGAATATACAAATTAGGGGTTTTAGTGGAAATCTTTAAAAGATTTTAATGGGATTCATATGCAGTAATTATGATTTAAACTTAAGGGAAAGGATTTAGTTGAAACTTATTTAAAAAAATAACTGGTTATAACCTCTCAATTCAAGTCAAGCCCATATAATGTGTAGATTCTAAGGTATGGGATTCATTATTATTTCAATAATATTTTAAAGGTCACCTTAAAAATATCTGTGCAACGCTGTATATTATGTAGATTATAAGGTAACACCCAGTTGTACTTACATCAAAAGCTTTTTACACAATATTTTAATATTTTAACAAATTTTCAATCACTTGGAATGGAAAATATTTAAAAATATGCTCAAGTCTAGTAAATTCCTTGGTTTAAGAAATTTTTTAAAATTGTTAATTCAATTTTTGATACAAACATTAAATCTAGGGCTCTTATTTGTGAGGCGTGCTAAGACTTTTATCCTTTTGGGCTTTTGTTATAATTTATAGTTACATCTATTCTATATTAGTTTCTAAATGCTTACGTTCCCTTTCAAATAGTTACTTTACCATTTTACCAATTTAAAGAACCTTTTAGAAAATGTAAACAAATGAAAATCTACAAGTGTCGTAACCCATAAAAGCCTAACCACATGTTTACCTAAAATATCATTTACATCATGTAATCCTGCAGTTAATCACCCAGTTCTCAATTACCAACCACATTTCCTTCAATTCCTCTGCGGACAGTAGCTAGAGTCCTCCTTATAATCTCTTCAAGACTCTAAAACCCACTTTTTTGTTGCATTCCCAGGTGTCGATACACAATATATCGGAGTCTAACTTCTCGCGCAACAATGCATCGTCGTCGCCGCATCACGTGGAAATAACTAGCGTGTTTAGCAGCCGGGTGCGTCCTTCGAACGCCTATGATCCCCAGCAGCCACAACAGGCTGGCGGCAGCGTTCCAGGCGCCAACTACTGCGACAATGTGGTTGGCGACTACGGCAACGGTAAGTTGATTAGCTGATTGAGAAGCATCCAAGTGTCATAATTTCTCTCTGTTTACAGATTCCCACCTATTTGTGCAGAATAGCCTGCTGACACGAATGCAGCCGCAGACTCCAGCGCCACCAGATCCCTTTGGCTACGACTTTGATCCCTCGGTGGTGGCAGGCGGAGGAGGATCCAAGGCCGCCAGTGTGGCCAGCGACCTGAACGAATTCCTGCGTCGCAGCCCGCTCAGCCAGCGAACCTCGCCGTATACACCGGACGAGAATGCGGCAGCTTTGGAGACATTCGTCCAAAACATGAATGCCCTGCAGATTGCGAGCGATGCCGAACAGTGTTCACGACTGAACGGATCAGGAGCCGAGGATGGCCCTGTGGCGGATGCCACTGCCGGAGGGGCGGCCAGGGCTGCTTCTGCCTGGTGGTGAGGACGACATGACAAAGGGTTGCGGGTCGGACAAGTGGACTCCATACACATCTCTCTCTCTCTCACATACGCAGAAAACGATAAATAAAAACGAAACATAAAACTACAAAAAACAGAAAATGCATCCAAGAAATCATTCAAAATGGCTTAGGAGTCAATTTCGATGTTTCAACAAAAAACAAAAAAAACGAAAAAAATAAAGAAAAATAAACTTAAATGGAATAAAATGTGTGATTGCTTTGGATTTATTTAAAATGTAAGTGTAACTCAAAATAACTTATAAAAGTGACAGCTCTGTTTTCATACCTTTGCAAAGGGTAGCCTCCTTGCTACAATATGCCTAATAGGACTACCATAAGAGATATGCCAATTTTCAATGATTTTTTTTTCGGAATTTTTCAAAGAATGATACTAAAAAATCCCAGAATAATGTTAGAATTACAAAGTCAAGTTGAAAATAAGTTGATAAATGGATTTATTTCTTCAATTTGAGGCTAGTAATAATTATAAAAAACTTTAGGCTTAAATTCCACAATATTAATGCTGTCGAGCTGCTGGATGCCCTAATAAAGCATCTCTCTCAAATCTCAAAGACAAGGGAGCCGGAGGCGTAGCTGACGCTGGAATCCTCCATATCTTCGCACTGACTGCTCTGAGCGTACTTAAGAAACTTAAAGTTCATCTTGTCGTAGCCCTGATCCTGCAGGGCCCTGCAGGCGCCCAGCATGACGCCGATGGGATGGCGTCCGCATATAGTGTTGTTGTACTTGCGCAAGTACTCAGTGAATGCCTGCGGACTGAGCGTCTCGATGATGTCCATTCCCTGTTTGTCCAGCCTCTCGATGGACTTGTGAATGGCGCCGCAGGAGCGATCATAGTACGTGTAATTAAAGCGCTGGCCCCAATGGCAAAAGTCGGAGGATATTACAAACAGATTGGTGGGATCCATCAAGTACGGGGACAAGAGGGCACCATACTGTGCCTCCTGCTCGGGATTCAGCGAGCCCACCAAAATAGGCACAATGGTGAACTGGTCTTTGTAGCTGGGAGGGGGAACAGACGGAAAACACTTATTAACATATCTTACAAGAGTCTGAGAACCATTATTAACTTACTCTTCCATGACTTTGGCTATGTAAGGCAAATGCATCTCAATGGAGTGCTCATCCTCATCTGTTTTCATATCCATCCAGGTGAACTGGCCGGTCTTTTCCAGCTCAGCATTGACTGACATAAGCAATGATCAATTAAATAATAATCAAAATTTAAGCCCTATCTACTTGTCTTACTTTGAGTATCAATCTCGAGATCATAGAGTGGAGTCTTATACTTCTTAGACACGGACAAGGCACAGCCCCGAAGGCGCACATGGTGGGAGGGGCCCAATATAAAGATTCGTTTGCTGCAACCGAAAAATACCAATTACAATTGAGGTAGGTAGAGGTAGGTAATTTCAAGTCCTTACACGACAACGGGGCTAACTTGACGATAGGCGAATGCAGCGCAAGCTCCACAGTACGTATAGCCGGCATGCCTAGGAATAAAATTTGGTAATGAATTATCTGCTCCCCTCTAGTCACTTCTGACTCCAACTTACGGGGCAATGATGGCGCGGGCAGGTCCGTGAGAGAGCTCGGCAGCGTGCAGCCAACCATCCAACTGCCTGGAGAGTTCAGGGCCTGGAAAATGTAAAAACCAAACGTGAATTCTTTGTTAAGTTGTTTAAATAAAATCTTTAAATGGCATTTGTTAGTGCTTGGGTTTGGGCAAGTAATACATACAGAGCAATAGTATTAATTCAACAAAGCAGGCCTAGAGTTGCTTAGCAACTAACTAACAAATAGCTATTCATATCGCATAGCACTTTTTCCGAATCTGCCTGCATAGCACAACAGCAAATATAATTTTTATATATTTAAATTCAAGTTTGAGTTAATCATGGCTGCTGATAAAAAGACGCAGGAAACCGATGAGCTAATGAATCGTATACGCAATGAACTGACGGCCATACTGTCTCAGGAGTAAGTCACCATAATAAAAAAGGAAAGAAGAAACTAATATACTTTGTAATAGGGCCACAAGTAACTCGGAAAGGGAGAAGACAAATGAACTACTTTTGAGTCCCAATCCGTTGCCAATTTTTGGTTTCTCCAAGGAGAATAAGAAGGCTAAAAACCCTTCAAGCGCCATAAAAAGCCTGTCCTCCTCAGGCAGCGGAAAGAACTCCTTGGCAAGCAGCGGCAAGGACTCCTCCACCAACAGCAGCGAAAAGGATCTTCCAGCAAAGAAGGGTGCCAAGCAAGTGGAACCAGATGTAAATTCCACATCTACCAGTTCCTTGCCAAGATCGGAAACATCGGGCCAGTATGAAGGTCCGCCCAAGGATCCCAAACTTCGTGCCGAGTTCTTAGAAAGCCAGGCAGCCAAAAGCATCGACGATGACCTACAAAAGATGCAGGTGGAGCTGAAACAGAGCTACGAACTCTTTCAGGGAATCGGCGAGAAGTTCGAGTCGGTGAATTTTTCTGGCTTAAAGACTCGCATCAGGGACTTGCACCTGAACGATAACAACAACGAGTTGGGCAAGGTGACGACCCACGAACTAAAGACTATGTTTGATACGCGTTTCCAGCAAAACCGCCTGGACAAGTTGACCTCTGATGCCACGCAGGGGTTCAGCCGACATCCAGGAGAGTTTGGGGATATCCCAGAGCTGAGTACGTTCTTCAAGGCATGCACGCAGCTGGAGCGCGGCCTGGATGCACTGCGTCAGCAACGTCGGCGTAACAGCGAACTGGAAAAGCGTCTGTGCTGGGCCACCGAGATTGCTTACGATCGTATGGACGAAATACGCAATGCCATGGGCTCCGATCCGGAAAAGGACATTTGAAGAGGATACTTCAAAGATTTTAGTAATTGTTAATCGAAAAAGTTCATTCACACTAGCGCACAGGTGAAATACATGAGTATATATGAATGCATATGCAATTGATTGCGTTATCTTCTTTGTCTATTACTCACCGGAGTCTGTGTACCAGCTCCCTGCGTGGGTTGCTCTTCTGGCCGGCATCTTAGTAGACAGTCCTAATTAATTAAAATTAATATATTTGGTATCTTTGTCCACTAATGGTCTACAAAATGCCTTTTAAATATATTTTTAGTAGTCAAATTTCTGATCTCAAAAATTGGATTTAGGGATGAGCATGAGCAAGAGTTGCCAACTACCGATAGTCGATTTTTTTTTAAAAGAAGAAAAGTTAAGTTCGTGTTCACACTGGCACCGTCCATCTTCAAGTTTTCATTTTCTAAATGGTCATATTTAAATTATAGAAGAATAGAAGAATTTGAAATATTCATCTCCCAAAATAAACAACCGAAAAATGTTCCATGCACGTTCGAAAGATTTTATTCTATCGCGATAAAGCCGGACATCGGCAGATACCATATGCTATCGATGTTTTGACAGCTCTAGTTTGTATATACTCGATAGTGGCAGATTGGTATATTTTATCGGCCTGGACGCGGTCACACTGGTAATTTATGTGTGCAAGTGGTGGCGCTGAATTATAGAATTTCCGCAATAAATTTTGTGCAATTCGAGACACGTTTCGTGGCAAATTTGACGGCAGCGTATAGCCCAGGTGTGTGTTAAATCCGTCCGCCGCTCGCAATTGTGGGGGCGCACGTATTGCGCGGCAACGCGTCATCGACAGCCGAGCATCGCGGCATAGCGTCATTTCTGCTGTACTAAAACCTAAAATCCGCCGTGTTCGTAGTCCGCCATTTTGAAAGCTGCGAGTGGAATTTGGACGCGTTGCTGGTAAAGAAATTTTTGGAAAACTGGCCGAAAAGTGCACAAAACTTGTGAAAAATGCTCGCCGACGGTGTGTGAACGCGCCGCCAGGATTGTGCATTCGAAAATTGTGTGTGGCCTATGCTTTTGGCACGTGAATTTTGTGCAGTCGTAAACTCGCAAAAAAAAAAAAGAGAAAGAAAAAGACGCCGCTGTCGCCGCCGTACAAAGAAAAACGAATAAGCGAGAGAGAAAAGGCCGAAAAATATAATTGTGCGCCGCTGAATCGTTTCAGCGATTTAATAATACTAAAATTCTATTTTTCCACCGGATTACCATTTCATTTTGCCTTTCTGTTTGCAACGAGTGTGCGCTTGTATGTGTGAGGGTGCGATGAACGTGTACAAGAAAAATTTAAACGTGCAGAATTCTGATGAATTTTAAAGCGGAACTACTTTTTTTACATATGAGTATGTGTGGCTCTGTGTGGGTGCACGCACACTTGACCAAGTATTGTTGCGGTTTAATGCGCTTGAGTGAGTGTGTGCGAGTGAGTGAGCAACGCCTGCTGCCATATTCTATGCAAAACATAAATAAAATTGTGCAATTATTTTCCCACACACACAGGGGCGGCGAATACACACACAAGCACACACTCTCCTTCGTTTGTGTCTATTTCGTCTATATGTTTCTATATTTTTTTGCGCCCGCCTAGCGACAATATACACGCAAGGTTCACTGCGCAACGCCCACTCCCGTTCGTCCCCACTCCATTGCAACATGCTGTCTCATCGTTGTTTTGCCGCCGAAAGAGAGGGGGGAGGAAACGGAACAGAGTGGAGTGGAGACGAAAACCAACGAGTTTGAAAACTAACTAAAGCCTCATGTTGACACATTTCAAGCGAGAGGATTAAAATCCTTTAAAGGGTGAAAGTGTCTGGCGTTTTCTCGCTGTTTATCATTGAAGCGTTTTCCCCAGCGTATCAGAGCTTTAAAGTTTGCTCATTTAAGGCCGGGATATGTATAAATAGTTTCTGCTCGCATATTGACCGAAAATTACTCACATTGGCAGCTACCCATACACTCTGAGACATCTCTTCCCGTCAGAATTATATTTTATGTTTTGTTTATTCGGATTTAAATCCACACACACGCATACGACACTCAACGAGTTTGATAAAGTGGCGCATAAATACATATATATTGCTACCCATTTTTTTCTGCTTCCCATTTCAATTCGTATTGCCGCTTGTTTCTAGTTTTATTACAATTTTTGCGCTTGTCGTGTTTTTGTCGTTGCTTCTTCGCTCGTTTTGTTTCGCCGCCCTTTCACTGCCCGACGTGCCTGTACCCATCACACTCACAAACACATGCAGTCATTCGGAGACACAGTCACACGTACACAGACACACAGGCGAGCAACTCTGGCCGGAGCACCTCCCCCGCCGGTACCCGTCCTCCCACTCGCACTTGCGGCGGAATTGTTGTCGTTGTTGCTCCTGCCGCCTGCTGCAGTTGTTAAAACTCCAGCGAGGATTTCCAATCCTATTTTTACACAACACAAATTTATTTAACATTGTAAGGTCGTACAAATGTATAATCCTTTTTCAAAATTAACCTTGATTAATTTTTTGTTTTGAGCAGGTTTTTCTTTTTTTTTTTTATTCTATTTTTATGCAATATCATGGGTCTCTGTATAAATTTACCTTTTTTTCCGAAAACAGATAAGATTGCATTAAATAGAAAACTTATTACTTGACTTCAAGTAGGTTTCTTGATCAAAATTCTACTTTAAAATGATTTAAAAACTTTGCCATATCGCAGATGAGCTCCCTTTTATGATGTTGTTTTGTTTTTGGTACAACAACAGTGTCCTTTTTACGGGGAATTTATAAATTTGATTGGATTTAAATCCACAATCGCCCCACCACCATGTCGTTTATTTATTTACTATGCACTTCCTTCCTCACATACCAAAACATTGTTCTCTATTTTTATGCGGGTATTTTCCTTTTCTCTTTTTTTGTTGCCGACTGCTGCACGCGTGAAAAAATGCACACCTGCCCAAAGAATTTCACACTTTGAGGCGAGGATGGCAGAGAAAAGGGGATGGGAGAGAGGAACCCAAGCGAAAGCAGCATCTGAAATAGCACATAAGATTTAAATTTAAATACAAGTCGGAAACTAAAATTCGGGCAAAAATACAATGGCAGCAATATGTCTATACCGTAGGCACCCGTATTTTAAAAAGGTATATTGTGTTCTTGAAATAGTTTGTTGCAGGTAGTAAAAATGGAATATAATAAATTGCTTTGTTAGCATCAATAGTCGATCTGATCTAGTCAGGTAATAACGAACATAATTTTGTTAGTCGATAACTCACATTGTTCTTAATATAATTTAAATTCTGACAGCTATGTTTTCATAAGTGAAATAGTAGTTGGTTTTTACGCTGCTAATCAAATTTTAAAGTCGGTATGGAAACCTAAGGTATTTGGTCGTTTTATCACTTTCTTCTCGCTTGATCGATATGTGTGCTCTTCTTCTGTATAAGTACAAATAACAACATATATACAATTTCTGATGGCTCAGGCCAAAATCCGTCTAAGACAAGAGATACAGATATACCAATAATAGAAACCCCAGCAATTTGTAAACGTGCGAGAGGGGGCAATAGATAAGTTAAATTTTATTTATTTTGTTTTTTCTTTTTGTTTCCCGACTTCTGGTCACTTGCTACTCGCGCTATGCTGGCTTGCAGTTTTCAATGTGCGTCATTCGCAGACCGAGCACCAATCAATATTAAAATAAAATGAAAGGGGAAAACGAGAGGAAAAGCAATAATAAACAAGAAATGCAGAATGACAAATGCAGACCAATAAAAACATTGGTCAATGTCACGCAGCCCTACAGTTAAAGTGGTTTTCCGGAGAAATGTTTAAGATCTTAAAATATTACTTGATAAAATGTGTATTTTGTTAAACGCCTACGGTTCATTCTAGACATTCTGCTGGAAGCTTTGTTTTTAAATCATAGGCCTTTAATACAGTTATCATACTCTGTGCTGGCATTTATAAGCGACATCAGCGAGAGTGTTGCAGTAAACTGTGTACAGATTTCGCTCGAAAGTGTTCCGTTTTATTAAGAGTAGGCAAAAGTCAGGTTACTCGCTGATCAGATTAGGAAAAGTATTTGTCAAATCGTTTAATTTTGAACGGTTCATCTTGCATTTTAAATGCGAAAAAAAGTGTGTTGTCTTTTCAAAAAGTCAGTTTGCTTATACATCGTACAATATTGAAACAAACACTTTTTTGATATATGAACCGCACTGTGATTAATTTTCTATAAAAAGCTTTTCCAGTATTTATAAACGGTATCTTATTGTCGAGATAGTAACTTTGTTTTATTTTTTCTTTTGCAATAACGAGGCTTTTCGCGTCATCTTAACAGCCGGCTTTAAAGCAAATGCATGAAATGGAAGGCAGAAATTGAAACCAAACGAGAAACGAGAAAAAAGCAACGGGAGGAGAAGGTGGTGAAGACTGCGGGGGCCGTAAAAACGCGGGAACGCAACGTCACGAAGCTGAAAGAAGCAGAAGCAGCGCAGCACAGCAGAGCACCCGTTGAGTCAGGCAAAAAAACAAGTTTCTCGAGTAAACTTAAAGTACTAAATTCGCCAAAGCCGTCGCAGTAATGACGCATGAGCAGTAGCGTTTTCAATTTTCCGATGCAGCAGCAGCTTCCCCCAATATCCTCCCCCTGGAAATTCCTAAAGTTTTCCTGGCACTCGAACGCTTTAAAAACTCTTTGCTCCTGATGCGCATGACTTATTAAAACGTGTTCAAGCACATATGTATGTACATACGTATGTATGTATGTATGTATATATCGCGCAAAGGCATTAAGCCAACAAACAATTTAAGCGAACACAGTTTTTCCTGCCTGAAATTGTGGCCAAAGGAAAAAAATTGCCAACAAAGAAATGAAAACAAAATCGGATGAAAGAAAAAAGAACATAACCATTGAGTTGCTCTTTTGCTGACTTTTCCACTACACACTCTTCCCCTCGGCTACTTTCTGTTCCTTTACGGCCTCTCTTTTATCGTGCGTCGCGTCCGTCTGCCTCGTTTCATGTTGATAAACCGGTTTTCAGTTTGGTTTGGTTTGTTGCTGTGCCGCCTGCTGTCCCCAGGCCATAAAAAGATATAGTATGTACGCGGCCATCGTCATCGCGGTCGGAGTTACTCGTGGTGCCACTCACTCACTAGTGGTGCCAGAAATCCGATAGCGAATAATCGTTAATTTTGCAAATCCAAGCAATTGAGGAATGCGTGAGCATGATTTGACTTATTTCTCATAGGCTTTGATTAGGAAACTTTCTGTACAATTTATGTAGATCTTTAGAGGCGCATTATTCATTAGAAACTCTTCGGTGATTCCCTTGATTTTAATCATTTATTTCTATCCATATATAATAACTTTAAAGTTCCAGTAGCACCAACAGTCGAATGAGATTTTGGTTTATAAAACTCCAATCGTTATATATCATTCAAATCGATGTAAATATTACAATTAATAGTCCTGTATAAAAAGTTTGCAAAAAAATATGTGTTATTTAACCAATAAATATTGGCTACAATACTTAATAAATGTATTTTCCGATCGAAATTGGCAATTCATCAATAAAAGCAGCTAAACTGGCATTACTGAAGTCGATTTGTTAGGCAGCTCACCTCAGCATCGGAATCGGAATCGGTTATAGGAAGCAGACACATCGAGTTCAGGTAGCAACGCGTCGTACTTCGAATGTATCTGTTAGATACAGGCCATTGCGCACACCGACGCTTGTTGGATTTATAATGGTTATTATTTGTTGGATATGATTTGTAGTGTTATATGATTTTAATTCATGTTTATACCTATTATTCCTTATTACCCCGCGGCATCAACAGGTTTTCTCTGTCGTTTCGATGGATTCCCATGTCTTACGGCGTGGGCGCTCGCACATTGCGGTTAGCACATCCTGTGGCACCATTCAATACAAAAAAAAAAAAAAAAAAAAAAGAAGCAAAACCTGAAGCAAAACTGGTTTCTGGCTGGCGCGGTTTGAAAAACTCTGACATTTTCCATTTCGACTGTTGATGGAAGCTAGTAAGCTGAATTTGTGCGATTTTTTGTATCATAAGAGAGCAAGCCTTCAAAGAAATGAATCTAAATGAATAACTCGGAAAGAATTGTTTTTTGTTTTGTATTTGTTTCTATTCGATTCCTGTACTGTTCCTGTTTATCGTCCAAATGCTAAAACCTTCTTAGTATTTAACGAAATCAATATAAAGCAAACATTAATAAAATACAATAAATAGGAGGTAAAAACAAGATAGGCAGAATGAAAATTGAATATTTATTTTGGCAATAAATATGTCTCATTTGAAAGCGAAATTCCATTAAATAATCGGAAATTCCAAGCAGGGTGTTTTTATAAAGAAAAGATTGCGGTCAGAGAGGCACACATTTTGTGCATGATGAAATTGTTTTTAATTAAAAAAAAAAAAGAAACTTTGCATCCACTTGACTCGCTATTCACTTGATAAATATACCAAATCGCAGTTGTGTGGTGATGGAACTGGAAAATTTGTTTTTCCCTTGCTCCAATGCATAATTGTGTTTACATGCATTTTATATTTTTCTCTTTATTAATCGGTATTATTCTCTAATACTAATCGAGTCTATTTTAAAGTACAGGGAAAACAGTTTTGACGTTGTGCAAAAATAAATAAAAAACTTTATGTATTGTTGCTCTTTCAGCTTTTATTATTATTGTTGTCTCGTCGGTCTTTCATACTTTGGCTCAATACGTGACACATGGCTGATGTGGGAAGTGACTGATGGTTGCGACGCGGGGTAGATGTTTGTATAAACATAGCTTATAGCCATAGAGACAGTCATTCCGAGCTTATCTTATATTATATAAATATATTTTGTGTGTGCTCGTGTATGTACATATATATGGCTCATTGCATACACTTTGTACCGATTTTTGCTACGCTTATCAGCGATGTAGAGTAAATCTCCTCTGTTTAAATATAACAAAAACTACTCAAATGTCAGCTCGCAATTAATGGGATACGTATGTGTTATTTGTTGCCGGATTATTTCATTTCATTCAAGGAACTGGTTTATATATATTTTGAAGATAGTTTTATTAGGTTATTTCAGTATTTATTGTTTTTATAAGAAAAGCAAATATAATAGAATGAGCTCTGGATGTTGAAAGATTCACTGGGCGCCAATCTAAGCTTTATAGCATTTTCCATTGAAATCCTATAAATAATAATATATTTTAAAGCGATCAAAGTTGCTAAGGCGTTCCAGGTCACACTTAAGTCAATCCCAAATACATATGTACAAGCATGTATCGGTCACATTGTCATCACGCCGAGCTAAACTTTCCTGCCATCCGTCGGCCCATGCCATTCCTCGTCAGATAACCAAGAAGTGCCCGTTGATAAGATACGGTGGGCGACTACTACTACACGTAATCCAAGTCGATCATATATATAGAGACCTATGGAGGGTACAGTACCTTGTGCTACTGAGTAACTGATTTTGTTCAAGCTTCTAAATTGTTCTACTAGTTGCGGGGGTTATAGATTTTTCGTTTGTCTAGATGGGGGGTTCGAGTTCACATGGCCTTTAAGCCACGCCCTTTTTGGCGCGAGTACGAGGGGAAGCGTCGGGCACAGGCCAGAGAATTTGTTTGTCACTTGTGAACGGCGTTAAATTTCTATGTTTCTGCAACGACACCTTCCAACACCCACCCACCGCCATGTCCACTCCCCAACCACTCAATGATAGGGAGGGAATATGAAAAAGGGGCGGGGGATATGTGAGTGCGGCAATAACGTAGCTTTATCGCTGATGTCGGCGAAATGCAAACAAAAACTTCATCGGCAAATTTTTGCTGACATTGTTATTTTTTTTTCTTTCTTTTTTTTTTTTGTGCTCTCTTAACGACAACATCACATTTCATGTTTTCCATTTAATTTATATGTTTCTCGTCATTGTTGCTTTCATTGCAGGATTCTCGATGTCAATATGAAGCGCCAAAAATGATTGCAGCGTTTGCATAGTATAATCTTCAAACGGTTTTTTTTCATTGATTTAACTTAAAACGGTCGACCAGCCATCAGTAAGAGCAGTGAAAGGGCTCTATTCCTCACAAGCCTGCGCTTTGCTCACGGTAAACCACTGACAAAGAATTAAGAGGAGCCAAAAGTACGGGAGTTTAATAAAGATACACCTCGACGACCGAAGAGTAGGGGACACATCAGACATCAGGAACAGTGACAGCGCGAGATGGACAAAAATCTAATGATGCCGAAGCGTTCGCGCATCGATGTGAAGGGAAGCTTTGCCAACGGCCCGCTTCAGGCCCGGCCATTGGTGGCCCTCCTCGATGGACGCGATTGCTCCATCGAAATGCCCATCCTTAAGGATGTGGCCACGGTGGCCTTTTGCGATGCACAGAGCACCTCCGAAATACACGAAAAGGTTAGTGACTAAATTCACTTCGTTATCGGCCTTCTAATTGTTTTTTTTTTTTATTTGTTTTTATATAGGTACTCAACGAGGCAGTGGGAGCACTAATGTGGCACACCATTATCTTGACAAAGGAGGATCTGGAGAAGTTTAAAGCTTTACGCATCATCGTGCGCATCGGCAGCGGCACAGACAACATCGATGTGAAGGCGGCGGGTGAACTGGGCATTGCCGTTTGCAACGTTCCCGGTTATGGAGTTGAAGAGGTGGCGGACACGACGATGTGCTTGATCCTCAACCTCTACAGACGGACATACTGGTTGGCGAATATGGTGCGCGAAGGCAAAAAGTTCACCGGACCCGAGCAAGTGCGGGAGGCAGCGCATGTAAGTTGCAAATAAATTAAATTATTTAGAAGCACAAATTAAGTTAAATCGATTTCCCTTTACAGGGCTGCGCACGCATCCGCGGTGACACATTGGGCTTGGTGGGACTTGGTCGCATCGGCAGCGCCGTCGCCCTGCGCGCCAAGGCATTCGGCTTTAATGTCATCTTTTATGATCCCTACCTGCCCGATGGCATCGACAAGTCGCTTGGCCTCACACGCGTCTACACGCTACAGGATCTGCTTTTCCAGTCAGACTGCGTTTCTCTGCATTGTACGCTAAACGAGCACAACCATCATTTAATCAATGAGTTCACAATTAAACAGGTGAGTTGATATGGAGAAGCATTAAGATTTAAAGATATCGGTCATTTTAAATAGACATAAATATGTTGGAATATATAGGGACATCGATACTGTATTGATATTTGAATCGAAAGCCGAAACGTACGGATACTCTTTGTGCACAAATTTTAATCATTCTATTTTGTATTGTTAGATGCGACCTGGTGCATTTCTGGTGAACACCGCCCGGGGCGGTCTGGTCGATGACGAGACTCTGGCGTTGGCGCTGAAACAAGGACGGATAAGGGCAGCCGCATTGGATGTGCACGAAAACGAACCTTACAATGTATTTCAAGTAAGAGATTGTTGTAAAACGAGACATTTTACGCAATCTGAGTTGGCGCCGCACCCACGACGGATGTGTTCTGGACTAACCAATTTCTTATTGATTTGCAGGGCGCACTGAAGGATGCCCCCAATCTGATCTGTACACCGCATGCCGCTTTCTTCAGCGATGCGTCCGCCACGGAGCTGCGCGAAATGGCGGCCACCGAGATCCGTCGAGCGATCGTCGGCAATATTCCAGACGTCCTGAGGAACTGCGTCAACAAGGAGTACTTCATGCGCACGCCGCCGACCGCTGCCGCCGGTGGCGTGGCGGCGGCTGTTTATCCCGAAGGTAAACTACAAATGATATCAAATCAAGAAAAGTAGACAGAGAGAGAAACAGAGAGACAGGCGAGCAAGAAGGGAGCGTTATAACAAGAAAAACAAAATAGAAACAAAACAAAACAATTAAAAAACAAAAGAAATCAACCAACAAAACCGAGCAAAAACCATTTAATACAATACCAGAAATCGTTTAAACCACACACACATTACTTTATAAACTACACACTCACACATACACCATACCATACCTACACACGCACACAAACATACTTCTATTCTTTCTCAGACTTATTCAAAAGTATATATATATATATAGGCGGGCGCAGAGATGCGCTTCAGAGAAGAAAGTATAACATTTAAAGCAAGATTCAAGAGCACACACGCTATAAGAGTTGATATATAAGTTTAAGCTACACACAGATCCATATATATATATATGTATAGATATATACATATGTATATATATATGAAATGTTTGACGTCGATGAGAGGAGGATTACAGCACAGCCGGCGTTACGGTAAAAGAGTTACGTATGTGTGTATGTATGTATATGCATTGTTTTGGCAAAACACTTTCGAAAATACATTTATTTGTCCCATGCGTACTATTTGAAATTCCCATTTCGGCCTGCCACTTTGTGAAAATCAATTTAAGATATCACGATAAGCATTTAAATTCCTTGATTTAAAAAGAAAGAAAAAAAAAATAAGCGCGAACGCATAAATAGAGTGACATTATATACATACATATAAATAAATAAGTTTAAAGATTATTTACAAATCAAAAACAAGGTGAAAGTAAACAATATGATGGATTATTGTTGTTAATGTTTCGCGAAACTCCCCTATTTGGCACCTCTTCTTCCATGCCCCGCACATGTATCCGCCTTGAAACAGAAACTAGAAGAAACAATCGGCGGAAAGTATGTAAAGTAATTATGTTCAGTGTAGTCCTCATATTTAGCCACGTATTCATTGTGTATTTAAAAATGATTATCATTATTATTATTATAAACGTGAAACCAACCATACCAATAATTCCAAAATGGGTAACTCCCGAATCGTCGAAACATACTTTTTGAGCTTAAGAAAATTCTTTATATTATGTTGCGCCATTTATTGCTGACTAACGATTGTAAAATGATTCGAATAAGAGAACATATAAGAAGCCCCAGAGAAATTATTATTTGGCTGCTCAACGCTCTGCTCTGTATTACAAAATGATCTCATCATCCACGTTTATTTTCGCCTTACGTATGTAATTCTTGTATTTTCGATTGGCTAAATCAAGCGGCAGAGAAGTGAACAATGACTTTATGTGCAAAGTATAGATATGATAACACACACGGCGCGTCGGATTCAACTACCATCTATCCAGAAACAGAAACAAGCAGAAAACTACAGTTAAATTAACGCATAGTCTATGTACATTTTAAAATATATAAATGAAATTATATTAAAGCAAAAACCAGCTAAACAAATCGAAAAAATAAACAAAACCGAAAAGAAAAGAAAAGAACAGAAAAAAAAGAAATGATAATACATGTAATATTAATGAACTTAGATTTAGACCTTAACGATAAAGGCAGCTGGGCGACGACGATGATGATATAGCGAGCATATATGATCATCATCATCAGCGAGTGGTACATTAAACATTGTTAGCGTGTAAATTGTAATTTTATTTACCGAAAATATATATATATTTACATACACATAGAAACACAGACGAGCGACAAAAATTATAAGACTATAATTTTGTACAATTTTGCAATTTAAGTTTAATTACTAAAAGCTTCAAGCGGAATCGTCTCCAATGTCTGGTTGCATTCTTACTTCTCTAATTTTCTTAAATATTCATAATCTTATCCGATAATGTTCAAGAACACACCTCTCTTCCCAATTCATCGGGTGAATAGATTGCCCAAGTCTTAAATTCCTTTTCAAGCTTTATTCTATTTTATTTTATTTTTTTGTATTTGGTTGTTTTTTATAAGTTCCAAAAATTGTGTATTATTTAAAACATTTACAAGCACAAAACATACACGCATATAAAGCACACTAAAAAAGAAAAAGAAAACAGACACAAAATACAGAAGCTGTATACACTCACACATCAAACGCACACACACACACACACACATCCTATATAGCAAGCTGCAACAACAAATGAGCAAAGTAAAACATAAATAAGCATAAGTCTAAAAGTAAACGTAATGAGACAAAGGAATAAAATACTGTTATTTTGTAATGTATAAAAAGGATATTTTTAATAACTGTGAAAGCTAAATAAAATTACAAGCGTAACAATTGACGATGAAGCACAAAAACGAAACGAAACAAAACAACAAAAAATCAATGAGACGTTTATTTGAAAACCAAGAAAAACATTTTCATAAAAAAATACAAACAAACAAAAAACAAGAAGATAAAAACAAATAAAACAAAATCTTTCATGAACACAATTGTTTTAACTTTGCCAAATCGGAAGCTGTCAAATTGTGTCCACTTTTGATAAACATGTTTGATGAAAGACTGTGCCTTCGACCAATTTATTGTTATCTTGGGATGATGATGGATTAATTGATTCATTGAGAGCAAGCAGCGCAGAGCACACCATTAAGTATAAGGAGTAATTTCGGCGAAAGTCAGCAATGAATGGCCCAACGGCAGGCGGAATCTTTAGCCATAGCTCATTTGTATCTTTAGCTGTAGAAAAAAACCAGAAAAAGATCCGTTCCATGACTTGAATTTCAGGGGAGACAATATTTTCCTGAGTACTGGTATCATGGCGTGACTCTGAAAAACCCAGAGCTCGTTAATAACAATTGATCATTTTCTTCTCTACAAATATAACCTGGCGGAAAACAGATCCTTTGCGCTCTGTTTGGCCCCTTCGTTTTGGTCCTTGCAACGTTTTTTCAGAACCAAAAACTATGGAGAGCGATGCGGTTGAACGGTCGCACATTGAGAGTATGCATATGTAGTTAATGATTTTAAATTGTTTCCAAACGAACCCAAAGAAAACAGATTAATATTTATCATTAAATATTTATATTTATATTCACAAACAAATTGATAAAACTCAACAAAGAACGGTTGCAAAAATCCTCTTGGTCTCTTGAACATACTAAACCGAAGGGTTTATTTCTGCTTTTTTTCTGACAATTCCTATTTTCGAGCTCTGGTTTTGGAAAATTTGGATTTTTAGGGGCGACGAAGGCGGATATTCCCCCCAACACAGCATCATTGCATCACTGTTAAACCCAAGATTTCTCTCATATATAGTCAGTCGCCACCTCCCAGATTACACACAGACTCTGCCAACTATTACAGCAAATCGAAACCAACAATTCTCCCACATAATACCAAAACCAACAAAAACAGCAACATTTCATAACTTTTTACCTAACTTTCAACTACCAAAATATGAACCAAATCGAAATACAATCCAGGATTAAATGGCGGCTATTATACAGGCGCACTGCATCATCGGGCACACAGCACCACGCCGCACGATGGTCCCCACAGCACAACCAACTTGGGCAGCACAGCCGTCGGCGGTCCGTCAGCCGCTGCGGCAGCCGCCGCTGTTGCCGCTGCACTGGCTCCGCCGCCGCCGCCCAACTCCTCCGTGGCCGCTGCTGCGGCCGCCGTTGCCGCCGCTGCTGCAGCCGCCGCTGGCCTCCTACCATCGCCGAACAACGCTGTGCCCGCGGGGCCGCATTTGTCGCCCCACCACCAGGTGGGTGGTGGAATGCCTCTTGGAATTGTGAGTAGCCAATCGGTAGGTAGCCCATAAAGCTCTGTTGTCTTGTGTTTGTGTGTGCGTTTGCCAACCTGACGCCACGAGCGGCATATACTCTCTGTGGTAAACGTGTGTTGTGTGTGTTGTTGTGTTGTGTGTGGCTCCCCAGTTAGTCCGTGTTCGTTGCTGTTATCGTTAGTCACTGGTTGGTTAGTCGTAGTTGAGTGTTGGCTATAGGCTAGGGCTTGCTTACTGAGACCGAGTTGGACATGCCTTGCTAATCCTTATCCTTGCCCTCCTCTTGCTTTTTAGCCCCTGAGTGCGCCCGACCCTAATAATCACCTGTCATCGTCGAGCATTAAAGCGGAGGTGAAGGCAGAGTCGGCGGCGGAGGCGCCGTAGGCATCACAAGCTGCAGCTGCTGACCCACGAAGCTGGAGCCCAGAGCTGGGGAGTAGAGTGATGATGACAACGGGGAGTGGCGCAACGGAGTCCAGCACAACCAACTGGAGGGAACGAACGAATGGAAGCGAGAGTAACATTAAATCCCAGGAGTAGTCGTCATCTATCAAATGTCAAATGTGTGTGGAGTGTGAAGTCCCCAAGACCGTGGCGTGTGGTTCTTCTTCTGTTCTAATGAAGGATTCCTTGCGCCGCTTGCGCCAGCGCTTGATTTAAATTTTTCCAAAAGTTTCTATGTGTTTTTAATATTTAAAATACGATACATACTTGCATTACCAGACCTCCCCCAAAACAAAACAAAAACGAAAACAACGCAGGAAAACAAGGACGAGTAAAGAATTGGGGTGGATGGCGGAGATAATCCCACACACACAAAACTAAGCTCCTCAAGAATTAATTACATCCTTAGACTTTAATTTGTAACTATCTAGAACTTTACGGTTACAATTTAAGATTTTTTATTTGTATTGCAGCAAAAGTGTAAGTAAAAAAGAAAAAAAAAATATGTTACCTACATATAAGCGCAAAAACACAAAACGTTTTAAATTTCAAGAAAGAAACCGAAGCAAGATTACGTTGGCATACAAACAAATTCAAGTGAACTCTACTAGAAACAAAACAAATGCAACACACACAAGAGAGGAGTCGTATAGAGCTAAGCTATGTTTAAAGTATATATAATTAAAAAGAAAAAAAAAACAATAATAAAAGAAACAGCGACAACACTTGCTTTTTAGTGGAAATATCGACGACACGGAGAGAGATCTTCGACAGAAGAGCTTTGCAGTTTGCAGATTATCTAGTCTAGTTTTGGGTAAATACGGTTCACTGGGATGAACATGTTCACTTCCTAATTTGTTCAAAAGATTTAATTCAACAATTACTTGTTCACTAGCTATTACTCAGTTGTTCCCTAGTCATGAAGATATCTCTGAGTATAGAATTTTAACGGCATTTTTAATTGTGAGTAAAAAAAGATAAATATTTTCCATTAATTTTATAAAATTTTTCGAAATTAACAAAACTTACAAAATCCATATTTCAATTCAATTCGGGAAGCTGTTCTGGATTCGTTTTTAGAAGGTTAATAAAACTACTTATTGAATTGAATTTAAGTATTTACCTATAAATAAAAAGTTGAGCAAATTAAACCATATGAAAAAAAATGAACAACATTGAAAAACTGAATTATAAGAATAATTAGAGAGGAACATATTCATCGCTGAGCTTAGTGAACAATCACTCATGAACAGGGCATCAAAAAGAAATGTTATCTAATGTGATAAAGGGCGAAAACAGAGTGTTTTTTATAATAATAAGATGCGTAACGCCATACGATTTTGTTGCACTCAAATTATCAGAGTTGGCTTAATGATCCCTTGAAATTCGCTTCAAAAATCAGAGGGAGCGCTCAAAAATTTTGGAAAAGAAAAAATAGTTTGCATATGACATTTCATTTATGGGCGTTATGCATCTTGTTATAATATAATGGTTAAAAGTAATCACAATCTGCATAACTGTATGTGGCATTCCTTTTCCAAAAAATTAAATGATTGTTGATGGGCTCTGATCGACAGTAATACATTTAGTACATTTATTTGAGTCAGTTACGAACAAAGGCTTGTTTGTCGGCTTCTGGTGGTAAGTTACATATATATTCTAAATGCTACACAACACTATTTACGGAATACATACTGCTTATAGTTGCTGTTTTTGTTTTTTTTTGTATGCACTTTAAAAGCATGTTTTACGTTTACAACGCTCAGATGTAGTATATATAGGTAATAAAGTACATGTACATATGTATGGTTTTGTATGTTTCGGCTTTCGTTTTGTAAAATTCCCCCCATCGTTACTACTAATATGTATTAGCTCTAATAAATTTATCAAACACTGAAGGGTTCCCATCACGTTAGTAGTCCCTTAAATATATGAACAGTAATAACTTTTTTGTTTTTGTTTAGATTTCTGCTACGGAATGAACAACAGCTATGTACGACTTCGAGTGAATGAAATATTGTATATGCATTGGGGCATTTTGATTGATTTGTCGAGCTTAAAACAAACAACAGCTCAATACCTTAATTATACAAAACCTAGTTTCTTGTAAATCTAGTTCTTTTCTTTGTAGTATTTGTTTTTCTCCTTTACATTTAAAATGGAAATGTTCTTTTGTTTTAGGGACTTGGGTTAATTAGTCTTTGATTAAAACTATAACTGATACACTAAGATGATATATTCCAAAGAAAGAATATTACATAAATTGTGATGTTATAGTCCAATTGTATACAAGTATTCTGAAAATTAAAAACTACCTTTATCTGAAACGGTCTTTTCGTGTTTGGTTTGTGGATATATATATGTATATATGTACATCCAGTTATATTTTTACGTATATAAACGCGTCTATCAAAACATCATCATTGTACAATAAAATACAACAGAACAAATTCGCTTCATCTGCGTGTGCAGGTCATGTGATTAAACGTCAGAAATAAAAATTAAACATTGCAGCAGGCTTGATGGGTACTGCAGTCGCCTCACACACTTGGTCCCCCCCGTCCAGTCCCATCGCCCATCGTTTATCTAAAAGAAACGCGTGAGCCGGGGTCGCAGGAAACGAAAGGCTCCATAGCAGCCCAGGCCAATGAGGCCGTACTTCAGCGTATATGTGCAGATGCGCTGGCCAAGGCTGGCCGGTGGAATTTCGAGTATAGCTGGAATTTTCTTGGGATCGACGGTACCCCACATTTTGGCAATCCCATTGGCATGCCCGATGCCCACGACACCGACAACACGCACTGGACGGATCTGCTGGGCACCCGGCGCAGCTTGGGGTAGCGCCGCTAGCTGCAGCGAGTGACACAGGAAGATGTCCCGCTCGCGTACGAAAACATCAGAGAAGGCCGGAAACTCGCCGGCCATCTCCTGCATCAGCTTCTCTAGCAAATCGCTCTGCTTGCATTCCTCCACCTCCTCAATGCTAATGCTGTCGGTGAAGGTCAGGCGCCACACCAGCTTCATGGTTTGCCACGCGGACAGAGCACGGAGGGCACGGTACAGGGTTATACGGATGGGCCGGTCACCCAAGTGCAGAATGCAGCCGGGTAGCTTGTGGATCTCCTCGAAGGCACGTCGAAACTCACCGCCCGGCGCCATTCCCAGATCCTTGGCGATCTGGGCGCTCATCTGCAGCAGCAGAATAAAGAAAATGCCGTTGATGTAGCCATGTGTCTGCAGGATTCCTCGAATCTGAATAGGAGAAAAAAAACATTTGCAATGTTTTGTAGGAATGTTTTCCCGTTTCCAGCAATTACCTTGGGTATATTGATGCTCTTGGCCTCTTCCAGCAGAGTTTTCTCGTCGAGTTTCAGTATGTGAATACGGGATGGGCACAGCTCAACCATGACCACATCTGGACGGACATTCCGTATGACCTGTAGAATGATATTTGTTTAATTTAAGTTAATTTAATAAAATTACTAAAGTTAAAGTTACTCACATATGAGACGTCATCCTGCGACTCCTCACTGAAGTGTGCCGTACCCACCAGATAGACCTTGCTGCCAAATGGCGTGTTCAGAAGCGTCACTGTCGAGGGCAGATTCTCTTCAAACTCCTCGATAGTATCGTAAATTTTGATATCCCGCTTAGTTTGCGGCTGGTCGAGCGCGGCCGGCACTAGATCCCGCTTCGCGCCATCGCCATCGGCCACAGCCGAAGCCTCTGCAATGGATATGTCCAGCTTTTGTTTGCTGGTCTGAAGTAGTGACTCCGTTTTGCGGCGACGCTTATCTGTGATTGAGGCAGAGTCCGGCACAACTGCTTTGCTGGGCGATTTCTTTAAAAGGTTCTTCACGTCACTGCCACCTTCGACCAGCACCACCTCGTTCTCCAGGTCCTCTTTTTTAATGGAGTTGTCGTTAATTTCTATAATTGACAGGTTAGGATTATCCGTCTTGAATATTGTCTTGTTGGCCAGCTGTGATTTGGGATCGACTTCCTCCTGTGAGTTCGTGTCCAGACTCTCGGATTGGATCAGCAGCATGCTGGCATTTAGAGCTGGCGTCGGACTGTTAAAAGCTGCCGCCGAAGATGAACCGAAGGCCTTGTTGGCATTCGGTGTCGATTCGTTTCCAATTTCAGTACTGCCTACCTTGCTTGAGGAATTGGGTGGTTGCAGAGGGGTTTGGCTGAGTTCACCCAAAAGGCTCTCTGGAAAAATATATGGAAAGGGTGTTTAAAAATAATGGGAATTTATAGCTAAAGGTTCTCTTAAAAAATATATCTTTTTCGTCTGATTTTAAATACAAATGTTCCTTGTTTCCCTTTATATCTTTACTCAAGTTTGGAGATCTCCTCTTCATAGAACATTTCCAGCTGCTTTAGATATTCTCTGGAGAAACTTGTATCCCGACAGCTGCTCCTTAAGAATTGCTTAAACATTTGAAAGCACTGTTGCTTTATGGCACCATTATTTATCGGCCGGCTCTTGTCCTGTTCGGCCAGCTGTGTCTCGTATTTAAGGATTAGCTTTTGCTTGAGACCCTTAAGCTTCTCAGCGACGTTAATTTGTAATGAAGGTTTGCGGCGTTTGTAGGCGAGAACGCATGCAGTCTGCACTATTTGGGCCAGCTCATTGTCCAATTTCTTGAAATGATTTTTGAATATCTTATCATCGCTAGAGAAGCCCTCAAATATTTGCGATAAAAGCTGGTTTGGAAAAGTCTCTGGAGTTTGGGACTGCAGGGACTGGCGTGTTGCAAGCATGAGATTTCGCTTGATGCTACGGCTGAATGTGGCCTTTTGTTGATTCTCGTGGCATAGCTTGTTCAGCTGTTTCTCGTGGTGATTCGTTTGGATTTGTAGGGCAAGCACCTTCAGCTTGAGAGCATTTACCTCGCGCTCGAGGAGTGCACGCTCCTCCAAAAGATGTTTATAAGCATAGAGATCTTCCGAATTATTGGAAAAATCTTCATCGCTGAATTTCTCCTTCTGCATACATTCCTCATCCTGCAGTTCCTCCTCCTGAAGTTCCTCCAGTTCGATATCAAGGCTGGAGGAGGGCTGCACAGATGAAGATCCGCTTGGGGTTAGCTGGTACTTCATTTTCATCTGTAAATGTCCAGATGCTTCTCCGATAGGAATCTGGGAGAGCCGACTCGTGCCTGCTGTTTGGGGTGAGAAAGTAATGCCGCTTGGCCAACTTACCATTACATGTCCGGTAGGCCAGATTGGACAGCTGGTGATCCAGAGCACTGTCGTAGAGTGTGCTATCGCCCATGTAGGAGTTCGTCTTTCCCTCCGGTGTGCCGTTGTTGGACGCGAACGACGAGGAGGCGGATATGTCCATGGCGGTGTCTCTGTTTGAACAGTTGCCAGTAGGAAGAATTGGTTACGTGTGGAAATTCGGTTTCGGGTGATAATGTAGTCGGATACGGCTGCCACCACGTATGTACATCTGTTGCTGCCTGCTACGGCGTCTGTGTGCGTGTGCGTGATGAAGAACTGGGAGGTGCAAAAGTTAAACAGAGATTATCAGAGACATACCGAGTAGATAATAAGGCTGACACTCTGTCCAGAGAACGTTGCTTTACTCTTACTGCAATTTTGTATTTATTTTTTGCGTACGTGTCGTATGTTCATTGCCTGGTGAATTTGGGGGTTTCTCAACTGAGATAGAACTCCTGGCCGGGTCAGTTTGTGTTTTAAAGCCTATTTAGTGATTTAAAGCTCCAAGTCATAGTTTCTTACCTGAAAAAGTGTATTTAATTTTGTTGTGTTCTTAGGTGCACATCAGCGGAAAATAATTGACACAGATTCGCTGCTTGAAGGATGGGCCTGGCTACGACGGATAGTCGCTTGGAGCTCTTGTGCGTGTGCCTTTAATTGTAATAAAAACCCAAAAAACTAAAGAAATTAAACTGTGGCTGTGGCAAATTGTCGTTTTCTTGTTCTTTCAACTATAGCTGTAGAAATCGAAGCATCGATGGCAATATCGATACACCAGAAGTGTTGTGTCAATCACAATCGATTGTTGCTTACAATGGCGATAGTAATAAAAACAGTTTCAAAGAGTTTTTTTTTTTATAAAACACACATTTCGTAAGCCAAATAGCAAATCAATATCACTGAATATGTATTATTTAGTAAGAATTGAGAATATGTACTTCTTGAATACATTGAGTAATAATTACGGAATATAACAAAATTGGCAGATATATATTTTAAGCTTCCGTTTCTCCATCAATCTAACATACTTATTTTGTTTTTGTAGACACACAACTTCTATAAATTAAAAATTAAAAAATAAAATAGTGGAAACTCTGCATCATCAACGATACAAAGTATTTTTTTTTAAGAAAACATTAGGGAATATCGATCTATCGATTTCCACAATCGGCCACCTCTAGTTATTTTGTTTTGGTTTTCTTCCGGATTTTAAACAGCAAAATCAGGCATGGCCGATGATCCTGAGGAACCTAGCAAGGTACGCATAACTTAGACCCAAGGGCGAATGTCCCTAGCATGTGCAGTTTAAGGAAATATCACTTGCTTACTTGATCTTTACAGAGCTTCTTTATCTTTGGCCGCGATGTGTCGCAAATTCCGTGCTTTCGTAACAGTTTTCTCTATGGAATCAGCGGGGGAATTGGCATCGGCGTGCTGACCTTCCTGGGCACCTCACGCACCCACCTGTCTACGCATGTAGGCTTTGGGTCCTTCTTCTGCGGCACCGTAGTTTACTGGATGGCCTGCAGGTAGGTGGATTAGGACTTGACCCACCCCCGATCCGTGTTAATTGTCTTTATCTCACAGGTATCAATGGTCGGCGAGGAGGTTTGAGCAGACGCAGTTAAGGGAGGCTATGCGCCGTCAAGCACAATACGAGGGCACAGAGGTCGAACGGGATTTAGATCTTAAGTCTGCGTAGCATAAGATCCTGACAAATGAATGCTAATTGATTTCTATGTATGTACCCGAGGATTAAGGTATTCAATCCACAATTGTAAAAACCACTTTGTTACCAAACAGCTTTATAATAGATTGTAAGTGAAATCTTACCTTGAAGTTAATCGTTCTCCTTTGACGTATTTTATTTTGCCTTTATAAGGGAATTGTATAAGGAAAGGTTATGCACTTATTTTCTAAGCTGAGCCAATGACATTTTCACAGGTGCTTATTTTCCTACACCATTTAAATCTAGTTAAAAATACCTTAACCCATAAAAAATGCATCTATACTTTCTGGAAAAACACCGCTCGATACCATATTTTTCAAAATAAATACATCATATAAGTACATATGGAAACGAGATAAGAATGAAGGCTGGAAAGCCAAAGGTAACTGAAGATTCTATTGACACATGGGTTCAAGATTTTGGAAAGAATACCGTCCCAGAAAACCCAGAGAAGGAGATCCTGCTGTCCGTTCAGCGGAGCTGCCAGTGAGGGGTCTTATCTCAAAGTAAGTGCCCGAGTCCATTGCTCCGTCGCTAGCACGCTCATTTCGTATTCGTTAACGGCTCGAAGCGGTTGTGTATTTCGGCGGGCTGACTGTCGTCTCGGGACAAATTTGAAAACTTGTTTTTGTGTTACATTTATAAGACACTCCCCAGGCCTACATATACATGTTAGCGACCCGTAATTGCAGGCCCGTACATTTTTATAGTCATTGAAACCGACGCGATTACGACAATGTCTAGCAATCAAGCGAGTTCGGTGTTGGTGTTTTTTGTGAATGGAAAAAAGGTACTTAAAGATACTTAGATACGTTGTGTGTATCTTAAGAGTTTCTGTTAAGTAATAACCCCTATCGATTTTATAAAGTTTTATGGTTTTAATTGAACAATTGAAGGAGACCGCCTTTATTTTTTTGCTCAATCGAATGTGTGTCGATTTCGTAGGCCACTTTATTTTTATTTATTGAGGAGCGCTGATAACAATTGACCCCACAGAAGTGGAGGAGCGTTGTTCGCTTGTGGCCCCCTTATCATCTTATCAACACATCAAGCCATTTTGCAATGCATTGGGAGCAGTTTCACAGGGAGCTCACGGGGCTTTTGCGTATTTCTGCCAGATGATAACCAGGCACATTCCAAAAATACTATCAGACTTTACAATGTTTACATTGCGACGCACATAAAGTTATAGTTGGCAATATTATCTAGATAATACCAGACACATGTGACAACTGGTATTAGCGCACGGCAGCAATTAAAGTTCTTAATTTAACGCTTCATAAGTGGAGTCATAATAAATAACCTGCTGTTTGCTAAGGGGATATTTTGATAGTGATAAATAGAGCACTTTATTGGAACAGAGCTGGAAGAGAAACATGTAGTTAGTCGACTGCACAACTACATAGCGCACTTAAAACGAAAGCTGATAGTATGACTTTTTTTTTTAATAAAAAAAATAAATAGTATGAATTACAACTAGATTTTACTTTCAGAATTCTGTTTCATAAGTATTCCCAAATACTTATATTCTAATAGTACGGCTTGTATAGATACTCCATATGAAATTGTCAACATTTTGATATTATAGTCAAATAAATATTGTTTATTAAAATTCTAGCGTTGGTCGTATGAAATTAGTATTCTATTCTTATTGCATGACAACGTAACGAGTGGGAAAGTTATAAATATACTTAAGATATATACATAAGCAGACGTATATACGTCCTCCTCTTGAAACGGAACCGAACCTTAGATCTTTATGTTTTCAGAAACTGCCTTTATATGACACTTTTAGATATTTAAATTAAGTATCGTTTGGGTTTATAAAGATTTATATACAGTACTTGATAATGAGTATCCATAACTTCAATCAATATAACTTTCTTTCACTTAACGCACTTAATTGATAATTACCAATTAAAATTAAAATTTTAATCTATTTTCCTTTGGTCCAGGTGATTGAACCTAATCCGGATCCGGAATGTACTCTACTTACCTACCTTCGTGACAAACTGCGGTTGTGTGGCACCAAGCTAGGATGTGCAGAGGGCGGATGCGGTGCCTGTACCGTAATGGTGTCACGCCTGGAGCGTTCTGACAACAAGATCCGTCACCTGGCGGTTAACGCCTGCCTCACGCCCGTGTGTGCCATGCACGGCTGTTCAGTGACGACGGTGGAGGGCATTGGAAGCACCAAGACACGCCTGCATCCGGTCCAAGAGCGCCTGGCCAAGGCACATGGTTCGCAATGTGGTTTCTGCACTCCAGGAATCGTGATGTCCATGTACGCGCTCCTGCGCAATGCGGAGCAACCGTCCATGCGGGATCTGGAGGTGGCGTTCCAGGGCAACTTGTGCCGCTGCACTGGCTACCGGCCGATCCTGGAGGGCTACAAGACCTTCACCAAGGAGTTTGCCTGCGGGATGGGCGACAAGTGCTGCAAGGTTAATGGCAAGGGATGTGGATCCGATTCGACTACGGATGACAAGTTGTTTGAGCGCAGCGAGTTTCAGCCATTAGATCCCAGTCAGGAACCGATCTTCCCACCGGAACTTCAGCTGAGTGAGGCCTACGACTCTGAGAGCTTAGTCTTCAGATCACAGAGGGTGACCTGGTTTCGCCCAACCACTCTGAAAGAGCTTCTCCAGCTTAAGGCTCAGCATCCTTCGGCTAAAGTGGTAGTGGGAAACACTGAGGTGGGCGTGGAGGTCAAGTTCAAGCACTTCCTCTATCCATATCTGATCAATCCCACTCAGGTGAAGGAATTGCTTGAGGTGCGAGAGTCTCAGGACGGTATCTACTTCGGTGCCGCTGTCAGTCTGATGGAGATCGATGCTCTCCTCAGAGAGAAGATCCAGCAGTTGCCAGAGACAAGCACGCGTCTCTTCCAGTGCACCGTCGACATGCTCCACTACTTCGCCGGCAAGCAGATCCGTAATGTAGCCTGCCTGGGTGGCAACATAATGACCGGCAGTCCCATTTCCGACATGAATCCTGTGCTTTCAGCGGCGGGGGCCCGACTTGAGGTTGCAAGCTTTGTGGATGGCAAGCTACGAAAGAGAATAGTTCACATGGGAGAGGGTTTCTTCACAGGATATCGACGGAATGTGATAGAACCCCAAGAGGTTCTCCTGGGCATTCACTTCCAAAAGACTACGCCCGATCAGCATATGGTGGCCTTCAAGCAGGCCAGGCGAAGGGACGACGACATAGCCATAGTGAATGCTGCTGTAAATGTCCGTTTCGAGGAGAAGTCCAATGTGGTGGCGGAGATATCAATGGCCTTTGGTGGCATGGCGCCTACCACGGTGCTAGCCCCCAAGACCTCTCAGTTGATGGCTGGACAAGAGTGGAACCACCAGTTAGTGGAGCGAGTGGCTGAGAGTCTGTGCACGGAGCTGCCCCTGGCTGCTTCTGCTCCTGGCGGCATGATTGCCTATCGTCGGGCATTGGTAGTGAGCTTGTTTTTCAAGGCCTTCCTGGCCATTAGTCGGAAGTTGATTGATGCTGGGGTCATTTCCTCGTCAGCCTTGTCGTCGGAGGAGCAGAGCGGTGCCGATCTTTTCCACACTCCCGTCCTCAAGAGTGCCCAGCTCTTTGAACGGGTTTGCAGTGACCAGCCCGTCTGCGATCCCATTGGCAGACCCAAGATCCATGCTGCCGCTCTGAAACAGGCCACTGGAGAGGCCATCTACACGGACGACATACCCCGCATGGAGGGTGAGTTGTATCTGGCATTTGTCCTGAGCACTAAAGCGAGAGCTAAGATAACCAAGCTCGACGCCAGCGAAGCCCTAGCCTTGGAAGGAGTCCACCAGTTCTTCTCCCATAAAGATCTAACGGAGCACGAGAACGAAGTGGGCCCCGTGTTCCACGACGAGCATGTCTTTGCCGCTGGCGAAGTCCACTGCTATGGCCAGATTATAGGCGCCATTGCGGCGGATAACAAGGCGCTGGCCCAACGAGCTGCTCGAATGGTAAAAGTAGAGTACGAGGAACTGACGCCAGTGATCGTGACCATCGAGCAGGCTATCGAGCATGGATCCTACTTTCCGGATTATCCGCGGTTCGTCACCAAGGGTAACGTGGAGGAGGCGTTGGCCCAGGCGGAACACACCTTTGAAGGCAGCTGTCGCATGGGCGGACAGGAGCATTTTTACCTAGAAACCCACGCTGCTGTGGCTATTCCTCGGGACAGTGACGAACTGGAACTCTTCTGCTCCACTCAGCATCCTTCGGAAGTGCAAAAGTTGGTGGCTCACGTAACGTCGCTTTCAGCCAACCGGATTGTGTGCCGAGCCAAGCGATTGGGAGGAGGTTTCGGTGGCAAGGAGTCCCGGGGCATTTCGGTAGCACTTCCAGTGGCTTTGGCCGCCTACAGGACAGGCCGTCCCGTACGCTGTATGCTGGATCGGGATGAGGACATGCTGATAACAGGTACCCGACATCCGTTCCTGTTTAAATATAGGGTGGGCTTCACCAAGGAGGGTCTGATTACGGCCTGCGACATTGAGTGCTATAACAACGCTGGCTGGTCCATGGATTTGTCCTTTTCGGTGAGTGCTCTTACGTATTCCGGGTTTTTCCTTCTCTTATGTCTGATATTCTTCAGGTCCTGGAACGCGCCATGTACCACTTCGAGAACTGTTACCGAATTCCCAATGTCCGAGTGGGTGGCTGGGTGTGCAAGACGAACCTTCCATCTAATACGGCTTTCCGAGGCTTCGGCGGTCCGCAGGGAATGTACGCCGGCGAGCACATCATCCGGGATGTGGCTCGGATCGTTGGTCGCGATGTGCTGGATGTGATGCGTTTAAATTTCTACAAGACGGGTGACTACACGCATTACAACCAGCAGCTGGAGCACTTCCCCATCGAACGTTGTCTGGAGGATTGCCTCCAGCAGTCGCGGTACACCGAGCGGTGTAAGGAAATAGCCAACTTTAATGCGAAGAATCGGTGGCGCAAACGCGGAATAGCCGTGGTGCCCACCAAGTACGGCATTGCCTTTGGGGTTATGCACTTGAACCAAGGCGGTTCCCTGATCAACATCTATGGCGATGGGTCCGTGCTGCTTTCGCACGGCGGGGTTGAAATTGGCCAAGGCCTAAACACGAAGATGATTCAGTGCGCTGCCCGGGCCCTTGGAATCCCCGTGGAACTGATTCACATAGCGGAGACGGCCACCGATAAAGTACCGAATACCTCGCCCACGGCGGCAAGTGTGGGATCGGATATCAATGGTATGGCTGTGCTGGATGCCTGCGAGAAGTTGAACAAGCGGCTAGCTCCCATCAAAGAGGCACTGCCTGGAGGCACCTGGAAGGAGTGGATCAATAAGGCGTATTTCGACCGGGTTAGTCTCTCGGCCACCGGGTTCTATGCCATGCCAGGAATTGGTTACCATCCCGAAACGAATCCCAATGCCCGCACCTATAGCTACTACACGAACGGCGTGGGCGTCAGTGTGGTGGAGATCGATTGTCTGACCGGGGACCATCAGGTGCTCAGCACGGACATTGTAATGGACATCGGGTCGAGTTTAAATCCGGCCATAGACATTGGACAGATCGAGGGAGCATTCATGCAGGGCTATGGACTTTTTACGCTGGAGGAGCTCATGTACTCGCCGCAGGGCATGCTTTACTCCAGAGGCCCGGGCATGTACAAGCTGCCCGGATTTGCTGACATACCCGGCGAGTTCAATGTTAGCCTGCTGACCGGAGCACCCAATCCCAGAGCGGTTTATTCCTCCAAGGTGAGGCATTTCTTTAGTTGAAAAGTGGATAAAATTCAAGTTTAATTTAAATATTATTCTTATTAACAACAGGCCGTGGGCGAACCACCCCTCTTCATAGGGTCCTCTGTCTTCTTTGCCATTAAGGAGGCCATTGCAGCCGCTCGCAAGGATCAGGGTTTGACTGGTGACTTCTACTTGGAAGCTCCCTCTACCTCGGCCCGCATTCGCATGGCTTGCCAGGATAAATTCACCAATTTGGTATGTCCTTAAATGCAAGAATATACAAGGAAGTACTAAATATTTATTTTGTTTATGCAGCTTGAAGTCCCTGAGGCAGGAACGTTTACTCCCTGGAACATTGTGCCCTAGAACAAGTTTTTCTGTTTTTGACTATTGTTAAATGATGCTAAATATAATCTGAAAGAAAATGCTACTGTTAAAAAAAGAAATATTTGTACCCTTTTTTAAGAAAGTAAATGTGCCAAAGTGTGACAACATACTTAGCTAAAAAATTAAAAAAAAAAATTAAACCTATCTATAAATATTTCAAAATTTTATATAAAAACCAAAACAGCTACTGCTGACTTCAGTGTACCCCTTGAAGATGAACGGGTACACAAAGCTAGAGATTAAAACACAGGTTTTCGGCGAGCATCTCTCATTCGCAATCATACGTTAGCGAGGAAAGACGTGCAAAATGAGCTCGGTCTACTGCTGGCTTCTCGAGTTTTCAATAATTTTAACATCGATTATTAATTCGGGGAAATCGCAAAACTATTTGTATAATGGATATGTACCACCTTGGACTGGGTCAGCATCACATCCTGCCCAGGTTTCGATTGACGGCTATGGTAATTGCCAGGCATACGATCGCCCCTTGGCTGGACGATGTGTCAGGTATGGAGACTGCATCAGTGCCCTACGGTCTGTTCCTCAGGTGACGCCTCTATTCTGCCCTTCGCCGTGGCCCGAGCAACTGGTATGCTGCCCACACGGAGGCTATGTGATGCAGACGCCCAGACTTCGTAAAAGCGAGGAAGGTGCGTATGGTCAGGCTTGTGTGATCCGAAAATTAAGAGATCTCGACTCATATTTTGGCAGCCTGCTTGAACGCTTATCCAAGGGGACACCATAAGCGTCGTCGTCGTCGCCGCCAGACTAATAATTCTAATCAAGACCAATTGGAGGTAGTTGAGCCAACTATCCAGCGACGCAATCAAAGCGAAAACCTCTTGGTCGGTGGTAGACTCACCCTGGCAAATGAGTATCCGTATATGGTGAGCAATTTTGAATTAACAAAAAAAAAACTACTGAACTTTACCCATTGAAAATGTACATCATCTGCAGTGTGCCCTGGGCTGGCCGTCTCGCACCGATAGATGGATTCAAGGGCCGAAATTCGCTCGCCGCAGGTACACCTTCAACTGTGGCTGCGTCATGATTTCGGCACGGTTCGCTCTAACGGCCGCCCACTGTGCCAACGTCGGCGGGTAAGCAACAACAACAGTAGTTCCACAGTCTCTCAATACCCGAAATGCTAATGCTAATTAACAGGGAAGCCCCTTCAGTGGCGTTGATTGGAGGCGTTGACTTGAACAGCTCTCGGGGCCAGCTTATAGAAATCAGACACATAACCAAGCACCCGCACTTCGACGAGGAGAGCCTAGCCAACGACCTGGCCGTGGTCAAGCTGGCGAGGAGGTCCCACTCGAATGTGGCCTGTCTATGGAACCATGATTCTGTGCCAGAAAGCCCGTTGACTGCCCTGGGGTATGGACAAACCAAGTTTGGTGAGTCTATACATTTATAACTATACAAAAATACGTAGAATATATCGTTGTATTTGAAAAATCAGGGGTAGAATCCTAAGAAAATGTTTGATCGACTAGTTTTTCCAGAAAGGTTTTCAAAACTAGGGTGTAGGGGTTTCATTAATATATCCTATCATATTTTATTCACCAGCTGGTCCACATTCCAATGAGCTATTGCAAGTGATGCTTTATCCCTTGGACATCCAGCAATGCCAAAGATATATGCAATACGATGACAAGCTTAAGAATGGACTAGGACCTGGTCATCTCTGTGCAGGAGATTACTCGGGCAACATGGACACTTGTCAGGTGAGTAAATATAAAATAGGAATACGAAACAAGAAAGGAAACTCACTTTGAATGCTGATCAACAATATATATGGTTTATGGAATCGGAAATGGCTCATTTACTACTTTGCAAGCTTTAGACTAAAGTTATAAAACCTGCAAGCTTAAAAAAATATCCTACTTAATAGATAATAAAGAGAGTTTTGCTTGAGATACTTTGACATGAGTTTTTAATCGTTTCATTTTTTTATCTCTAAAATATTCGTTTTTGTTTTCATTTGTATACTTAGTTCTTCCTATTACATATTGTTTTAGGGCGATTCTGGGGGACCCTTGCTATATCATCAACATTTGCGTCACAACCATCACATTCGGATACCTTATGTGGTGGGTATAACTTCCTTCGGAGGAGCATGCGCCACTGGACAGCCCGGAGTTTATGTGCGGATCGAGCACTACCTTCAGTGGATAGAAGAACAGGTGTGGTCATAAACCAGTACTTAGAAATATATGTATTAAAATAGTTATTAATATTAAGCATTTGCGATTTCATTAATGTTTTAGCATATTTCAGTACATTATTCTTTAACAAAATAAAATGTTTTACAAGTTTAAAGTATTAATATATAACCTTAGAGGAATAATTTCATTTATAAGGGCTTAAAGAAAAAGTTTTTTTCTAAATTAAATTACTTCTTTTAAATACCAATTAAATACATATTTTTAATTAAGCTTCAAACATAAATATATCTTGATCTTAAGGGGTTAATGCTGCTTGAAGGCTATCTTCTCTATCCAATCCAGGTAGCTGTATATCTTGGTATAAACACCCGGAGCATTTGGAGCTGCACAAAATTTGCCAAACGAGGTGATGCCCACCACAAAGGCCACACAGTTGTACTCCGGCAGAATGGCATGGATGGGACCGCCAGAGTCACCCTGGCAGGTGTCCCTGCCACCGAGTAGGTAACCTGCACAGAACTGGCCATCGATAATTCCGCGCGGCAGGCGTCGCTCCTTTTGGTAGATCTGCTTGCAGCGCAGCTGGGGGATAACGTCGAGTTGCACCTGCCTCAGGGTGTTTGACTTGGTGCCCAGGAACTCTGTCCGTCCCCAGCCGGCGGCCACAACGCTCGGAATCTGTAGCTCCGGCACTTGCCACAGGCAAGCGGGACGCACTTGATCCGAAAGTTTGGCTCTCCTGGTGAGCTTTAGCAGCGCTATGTCATGGTAGTAGGCTGAGGAGCGGTACTTGGGGTGCAGGATGATGATCAGGATTTTAATGTCCTGCTGGGCAGCGCTAGTCTCGTTCAACTGCCGGGCCCCCAGGCGAACCATATCCGGCGGCTTGCTGCTGGGATCACAGGGATGTCTATAGTTGTGTCCCCTTCGATATACGCACTTACCTACCCGAGGTGGCGCAGTGGGCGGCAGTGAGCACGTACAGTTCGCTGATCAAGGTTCCGCCGCAGCCCCACTTGATATCGGTGTCCTTGGCCTGGCCAATACCTTGGGTCCAACCCAGGGCGGCCATGTGCGGAAAAAGTCCGTGTCGGGTTGGAACTCCACCGACGATCAGCGGCACACTGGGCACACACTGCTTGCCGGAGAAAGTACGTCCGGTGTCAGCCAGTTGAAGGCGTCTGGTGGCTGCATTGTACTCCTGGCATTCTGGGACAGTAAACAATTCACATTAATATTTTCAGGTGTGGTGGGGACACTTACTGGTGGCACTGATGCGCTGGGCCAGGACATGCTTGTCAGCCAAGGGGCAGCACACAACGGGCACGTTGTTCCGATGCGTGCAGATGTCGATGCGGGTGCCATGCACTCGATACTCCCGGATCACGTGGAGGCACTGATAGGCTAGAATGCAGTAGCCACTCCGTCCATCGAAGCTCCGCCGGCAGAAGGCACCTTCCCGGTATTCCGCAGAGGCAGGCGTTCGCTCCTCGGTCGACTCATCGTCGAACTTTAAAGAGCTTTCCGCCAATTCCAGGTCGTGATCTTGCACATCCTCGCCGTCGCTAGGTGTCTGCTCCGGCTCCATCCACAACTCGGGGATTGAGTACTTGGTGGTCTGGTAGTTGGTTATTTCGAAGGCATTAAGAGCTGCATTGATGGGTGATGAATTTATAAACTGATCTCTTGGAGACCTGGTATTATTTTCCACTTACCCTCAAGACGTTGAGCCCCTAGAAGCAAGTGCAGGCAGATCAATTGAAACCTAATGTACATTACTCTCGTCATAATCCGAGCTTTTGGTGGCTGACACATGGCTTTCTTGCACACATTTTAATGATATTAATTCCAGTGCAATGCAATGTGAAATAATATAGATGTTTACAACTTATACAGTGGTAAAAAAACTTTCCTTTCTTGCCAGGAATAACTAGCATGGATGAACTAAGATCAAATAGTAGACTCAACTTTAAAGCTTTAAATCATAAAACAAGGGGAGAACATTTATTTACATTTACTTCGCTTCCAAAAACAACGGCGTTTGCAGATGGTGGAGTTTGGCAAGGGCAGCTTTTTAGCTTTGGGATAATATCTTACTTTCAAATCCTTATTTAAAAAAAAAACCGAAGCCTATATACCCTTACGGTTGTAATAGCAATAATTTTAGGAATATTTATAGTTTAAAGCGTGATAAATCGTTCGAATAAGAGCCAAAACCCTATTTAAATTGTCATTATTGAACATAATTTATAGAACTAATAAAAACATGTTATTTTAAGTATGTTTATGCTGATTAACAATGAAAAAACTCCTTTACTGCGTTACCAACTCTTTGTCAAAATTATAATACTCAGCCAGGGTACAAAAAGGGTATATAAAAATGCTGTGTTCCGCTGAGAGAGCTCTTTTCATATTAAGACTAAGCTTTTGAACTTTAATACTGTTTATTTTATGCTTTCTAAAGACTACCTAGCGAGTATTTTAATTTACATATTAAACACAGCATAATTTCAAATAATATAACCATTTCATCAACATTTAGCAATATGATGCTTTTTTCCCGGCCTTGAAATTGTCTTAAGATATACAAGAAAAAAAAGAAAAAATGCTTTAAATTAAATTATCATAACATATTTTTATGCATAAATCCGACTATACCGAATAAAACATTTATTTATTACTATTTACTGATTATCAAACTCGCTGAAGTAATTCGGCCATACTATAGAAGCAATCCAGTCGATGTAGGACGACACGCGTGTATAAACACCTAAAAGACTCACAGACAATCATTTAAAATTCGTAATATTTAACAGGAGGCCCAACCTGGAAATTCACTGCGACAATAGGCACCGTAGGAAGTGATGCCCACCAGGTAATAGCGATAACGTCTTCGGCTGCGGTGCCGGCGATTTCTACGCTCCAGGTTCAGCTGAAGAGGTCCCCCAGAATCGCCCTAAATTGGATATTTTAAGTTATAGTTATTTACATAATTTATTTATAGTATATAAGTTATACCTGGCAGGTATCACGATTTTTTTCGTAGTCGTGAGCACAAATCTGGCTTGAAAGAATCCCTTGAGGAGAGCTCTCGTCTGCGGGAAGACTGCTATTGCACTGATCTGTTGGCACCACCGATAGATCCAGTTCCGTGAGAATGTTGGTCTGGGGCTGGGCAAACCCTGTTGAGCCGTAGCCCATGGTGTGGAGCTTGCCATACGGAATTTCGTCCCTTGGCCACAGTCGGACCGGCTTCACAAACCAGGTGTATTCCACGGGTCGGTTTAGCTGGATCAGTCCAATGTCATGGTAGTTCAAGGTAGCATTGTACAGTGGATACAGATAAATCTGCGCCACACGACGCCTTTGTGGGGCAACATCGTTTTCCCATTCTTTGAGCTTGATATCCCCAATTTTCACCACATCGGGGGCCGTGCTGGGTCATGTAAGGGAGGTAGTTTATACATTTTATTAGACATCAATTCGTTTGGTATGATACTAGTCAAGAACCTATATATATTAAACTTTTTCATACACCCTTGAACACTTTTTCATGAGACAAAATGAAGTCGATATGGTTTAGTCAAGTATGTTGCTAAAAAAAATTTTGCGCCATGTCCAAATAAACGAAGTGTTGCTAGGGACATGTTGAGCAACACACATAAATTAATTTATATACAAATTTTAAATTTTAAAATATTATTTTCAATCCCTGGACACTGAGTGAAAGTGGAAGCTTACCCGTGTGTGGTGAGACAGTGAGCGGCCGTGAGCACGAAATACTCACTGATTAGGCTACCGCCGCACTTGTAGTCGATCTCGTGGTTCTCATTACGGAATCCCAGAGCAGCCTAAGAGACAGAGGGGTAAGAGAGTAATGCGTGAGCTTGAGAGATGCCTGAGATCGGCTCCAAAACTGTTATCAGATGGCAGGGCTTTGATTTGCCAGTCGGCTTTAAGCGTGTTTTGGCGTTTCCCCGATTCCGGTTTTGTGTGATTTTTTGTGTTTATTTATTTACTTTCAGTTTTTTTTTTAATTTGTTTGGAGTGCATCTCCGTCTACAAACCATATGCGGATACTGTCCGGGCGCCACGATCGATCGTCCATTGAAATCGTCATGCAAATCCGCCGCCTCCGCCGTTTTATTGTAGTTTTCCGTGTCCACCTTTTGCTCCGTACTCAGGAATATGTTTTGGAAGTTCCTATGATAACCGGGCGGCGGACGTCGTGGGTTCCATTGGCGGTGACCATGATGTCGTCCCGGAGGCGGGGGTGGACCTCCTGGACAACCGGGCGGAGGACCGGGTGGCGGTGGGCCCGGCGGCGGGGGTCCGGGAGGAGGTTGACCGCACGGCGGCGGAGGCCGTGGCGGCGGGGGTCTATAATAGCCGTAGTTGTTAAAATAACCCGGCGGCCATTGACTTTCGTATCCGTTGTTAAAGTTGTTGTAGTTGCTGTAGTCCCACCTGCTTGGCTCCGGCTCGGGATTGGGGAATACCCACTGGCCCCCGTTCCCGTTACCGTTCGGTCGCTGTCCCTTCGCTGGAACCTCGCACGAGAGCAAACAAACCGCGACCAAGACACAAACACTCTTCAAATCTGCCATCTGTAGGTAGAGGAGGTCTTTCTCGTTTGACCGATTTCAATCGACTGGGATGTTTCTTCGAAATGCGGCGTAGAGCAGGCAAACAGTTTTATTGAAATTCAGACGAATTTATAATTGAGCACCCGCATTAATTAATAAAAATACATTAAACAAAAAATAGCCAGTGAGAGTCGAGGGTTGGACACAGAGGCGGCCCGAAAATTGTTGTATCATTTAAGTCATTTAAATAAATTACCAAATTCCATTTGTTTTCAAAGGAAAACAATTTAGAAATGTCAATACAAAGGAAAGCTTGGTGGGAGAAGGTTGTTTGTTTGCAATTTAAACTATTAAAAAGTATAAATAAGCAACATAAACTAATGAAAATTTGTATTTGGGTTTTGATATCATAGCTTAAGGTGTGAATCCTTTTTTGCCTAGTTTGCTATGGCTTAGGCCCACTTCGACAAGCGTCGTGAGAAAATCCGAGGGTCAATGGGTCAGCCTTGCTTTACAGGATCAGGGATGCCTTTTCAAAGAAATTTCTTTATGAATGCTTGTAAAATGTCCATCGATTATAAATGCAAAGAAGGTTGTCATGACAATGCTCTTGTTTTGTGGTTGCTAGGCGCCAGCAACAAGAGAAATACAGTATTTAATCAATAAACTAAGATTGGATTTATTTTAAAATTTTCAATATGGTTGGAAAAAGCAAAAAGAAACGCAATAGCAAAGACTCTACATCCAGCAATGCTGGTAGTGGCGAGGGCGAGGAGAAAAAAAAGAAGGAGGGCGGTGGTGGCAAGAAGAAAGGAGGCATGGGAAAATCCATAGGCTGTGACATCTTCAATGACGCTGCCATGGAAAACGCTTACTATGTGTGCCACAATGTCCAGGTGAGATGCTAATTAATTTTATATATAAAATATTCACATTTCCTTGAAAACTATATTTAAGGATGTTCTTAAATCAAGAGGATTCGCCTGGCCAGATGGACAAAAGAAGAAAAAGAAAGGAAAACGTTGATTTAGAACCTAAAAAAGAGAACTACAATCAGCAACAACATATGATTGATAAGAATATATTTTTAATGTACCAGCATATTTTTGACGGAGTCTAAGTTCCGAGAAACAACTTTATGAAACGAAAAAAAAAAAACCCAAAGCAAACAAATAAATCAAAACACGACTTTATGCCAATGTCTTGTTCGTCATGAATTGAAACAAGCCATTCTGAAACAAAATAAACTATGGATTCCACAAAAACAAAGAGTGCTCAGAGTTAAGAGTAAACAGTATTGTCTTAATATCCACACTTTAAATTTTATGTCCAAAAATCAATTTCTCGTTAGGGAATATCACAAAATTACCAGGTATAATTCAAACCTCCCCAAACAAGATATAAAATTACAGAAGCTCAGAGGCTCAGTGCCAAAATGGTCAAGGTACCGGCTATTGGCATCGATTTGGGGACCACCTATTCCTGCGTGGGCGTGTGGCAGAACAACAAGGTGGAGATCATTGCCAATGACCAGGGCAACCGGACCACGCCCTCCTATGTGGCATTCAATGACACGGAGCGCCTTATAGGAGATGCGGCCAAGAATCAAGTGAGTGACTTCTCTTGCTATCGAAATCTTTAATTAAGTTTACTAAATAAGTAAATAATATAAAATTCACAGGTGGCCATGAATGCCAAGAACACGGTGTTTGATGCCAAACGTTTGATTGGCCGCAAGTTCGACGACCCTAAGATCCAGGAGGACCTGAAGCACTGGCCCTTTAAGGTGATAAACGACAAGGGCAAGCCCAAAATCGAGGTGGAATTCAAGCGGGAACGCAAACGCTTCGCTCCGGAGGAGATCAGTTCGATGGTGCTGACTAAGATGCGCGAGATCGCCGAACTGTATTTGGGCGGAAAGGTGAAGGACGCCGTGATCACGGTGCCGGCTTATTTCAACGACAGCCAGAGGCAGGCCACCAAGGATGCGGGCTCCATTGCAGGGCTTAATGTGCTGAGAATCATCAATGAACCCACGGCTGCTGCCTTGGCCTACGGACTCGATAAGAACCTCAAGGGAGAGCGCAATGTACTCATCTTCGACCTGGGTGGCGGCACTTTCGATGTCTCCATTCTGACCATCGATGAAGGCTCCCTGTTTGAGGTGAAGGCCACGGCTGGAGACACCCACTTGGGTGGCGAGGACTTTGATAACCGAATGGTGAACCATTTTGCGACGGAGTTTAAGCGCAAGCATAACGCCGATATCAAGGGCAATGCCAGGGCTTTGAGGCGTCTGCGGACAGCTTGTGAAAGGGCCAAGAGGACCTTGTCATCCAGCACAGAGGCTTCCCTGGAGATTGATGCTCTGCACGAGGGCGTTGATTTCTATTCGAAGATATCGCGTGCCCGCTTCGAGGAGCTGAACATGGACCTCTTCCGGTCCACTATGCAGCCGGTGGAGCGAGCCTTGAGCGATGCCAAAATGGACAAGAAGGACATCAACGACGTGGTTCTGGTGGGCGGCTCCACGCGAATCCCAAAGATACAAAAACTTTTGCAGGATTTCTTTAATGGCAAAACTTTGAATCTCTCCATCAATCCTGATGAAGCGGTGGCCTACGGAGCGGCAGTTCAGTCTGCTATTCTCTCTGGCGTGGGCAGCTCTAAGATCCAGGACCTGCTTCTGGTGGATGTGACTCCCTTGTCGCTGGGAATTGAAACCGCCGGCGGAGTGATGACTAATTTGGTGGCCCGCAACGCTAGGATTCCCTGTAAGCATCAGCAGATCTTCACCACCTACAGTGACAACCAAAATGCGGTGACCATTCAGGTCTACGAGGGCGAGCGAGCAATGACGAATGATAACAATCTGCTGGGCACGTTTAATCTTACTGGGATTCCCCCTTCACCCCGGGGTGTGCCCCAGATCGAAGTCACTTTCGATCTGAACACCGATGGCATCCTGCATGTGACTGCAAAGGATAATAGCACCGGGAAGTCCGAGAAGATCACAATCACCAATGACAAGGGAAGGCTGTCCAAGTCGGAAATAGATCGCATGCTCTCCGATGCCGAGAAGTACAAGGTGGAGGACAATCGCCAGCGGGAAAGAGTTCAGGCCAGGAACAACCTCGAAGGATATATTTACGCCTGTCGCCAGGCCGTGGATGAGGCACCAGCCGGAGTCCTGACCGAGGCCGAATGCTCCAAAGTGCGCGAGAAATGTGCCACCGAATCATCGTGGCTGGATAAGAACTCTCTGGCCAAGAAGGAGCTCTATGATCAGCATCTGCAGGAGTGCCAGCGCGTGTGCAGTCCCGTAATGTTAAAAATCCATGGCGGAGCCGGACAGAAACCCAAGAAATCTGGTAGTGCCACCAAATCACGTCCCACCGCGAATAAGGTGAAGTAGTGACCTGTGACCATTTTTTTAGTCTTTGAAACTATGTATTTTAGTATGAATTTTCGGTAATAAATGAAATCATTTTTGTGGTTTTACTGCTTGATTAAGGTGTTATTTTAATGGTAAATCCACCTACTCTTGATCGGCCAGCCATATATCAGATGTGCAATCGCCGCCAGGGTAGCGCATTTCATGGGGCAGACCAGGACCATAGGGCTCATCCTTAAAGTCCACCAAAAAGTCCTCATTCAAGGAGATTCCCCCATTCACCGTATCCACATCGATCTGGACAATGTGACCACCTTTTGAGACCATTTCGGGGTAAAACTATAAGAGATAAAGTGTCTTAAAACTGTGAACATTTACGTGTATTTCTAGGTCACTCACCTGCTTATCCCAGGGTGAGTATAGGGAGGATGAGACATACAACCGCTTGCCGTCCAGGGAGAGCTGCATCATTTGCGGTCCACCCTCCAATCGGCGACCCTTCACATATCGAGCTGGAGGCCTCTCCTAAGAAAGAGGTTCTTGTTTAATCCACCTGAGTTAACCTTTTTCTTGCACGCACCTTTAGTTCCTTATCCTCCTTTACGATCACATTGGGCAAGTCGCTGCATATGGCACCTCCCAGGAAGAGCTGCCCTGTAAGTTTTGGATTCTCGCAGTCGGTGATATCGTATTGCCTGACATCTCCGTGCCGCCAGCAGTTGACATACAGGAACCTGTCATCCAGGGATATAATAATGTCCGAAATCATGCCGCCCATATCCTCAGCCTCTCCACTGCCAGTATCAACCAGCTTGCCTGGAATGTCAATCACTTTTTTGGCCTCGAACTCATCGGAATCCGGCTTCTTCTTAAAGTGGAACACCTTGGCATTCAAAGCGCAGCCAACAAATCCCTCCGCCCGTTTTGGATCGTGCAGGAAGCGAATCTCCAGCGGTGTAATGCCATCCGCACCCAGATCGATGGTCTGATACAAGGTCTGCGTAGACCATTTGTAGAAGTTAAGACGGCAGCCGTACTGGGTCATATCCTCGAGATCACTGGGCCTCCAGCCACTAAAGAAGGTATGTTGAGTTTGTTTATATACATTTTATAATATTTTCTACGTACCGTCGCCATTTATTTGGGGCTCCCCACTCGGAGGACACCATAACATCGAAATACGGTTGATACCAGAAATCATAGCCGCACAATGCCTTCTTGTCACCCTTCGTCCAGGTTCCAATGCAATTAAAATCTGAATCAAAGAGGATAAAGTCCCCCTTAGCATATCCTCCGGCATCGCCCATCACGGATATCATGATATTTCCATTGGCCAGGCAGTGAGTGGTGTGTGGACCAGTCACATTGTGACTCTTCAAAACATCGCCATCAATAGTCTTAATTATTTCTGGCTTCCGGGGATCCGTGGCCACATCAAGTATATAGATAAAGTCCGAGTTTAGAGCCGGCAGCACCAGTCTATTCCTTTTTGGCACTGTCTCAGCCTTCTCGTCGACATAGTAGCAACTGGAGCAGGCGTTCCAGCCAGAGTGATGCAGCTCGTCTCCTTTTCGATTGGTGAAGTTACGGTGAACTATCTAAAAACAAAAAAGAAAATCATTAATTATATAAGTATAGAGTTTAAAGTATTTTTGTATGGTTTAAGAGTCTGATTTTTTTATAGGAAATATAAATTGTTTGTCTGAGTCTGAGAACCTGAAACCTGAACTTGAAAAATAGTTTATCTTCAAAGAAGTCGAAAATTTTAATAAAAACTACTTTTAATTTTTAGAAACGTTGTTGTAAAGTTTGTTTTTCTGTCCCTGAAAATAATCTTAAGATACGTGGGGTTCACAGGGGTCCATTTCGAAAATCTTGCCACAGCTTTTGTTATCTCTAAGTCAAGGGCGTAGCCACGAATTCTTATAGGGGGTGGAATTTTTATTTAGAAATTTTAAAGAAGTCCCATTTTTTTTACCAAAATTTACTAATACCTCAAATTGCAAGTGCTTATAAAAGTAATTAAATATAATAATACCTTTCTATTGAGCTGATTAAAAATCTACGTACAGTTTCTGTTTGAGATAGCGTACTTACCTGACAGTAGGTGGGGCTTTCGGGATCCACATCCACTGTGGATAGATAGTCGCCATGGGGCTCGTCCAAGTTGGGCTGAACGGTCACCGTATAGAGAAGCTTCTCCCGGGGCCCATTCTTCATGGCATCCAGAGGAGTTGCGTAACCCGGACCATGGCAGCAGGCTAGGGAAAAGCATTTAATTATCAATTTAGCTTGGTTCTCTTAACACTATTTCAACTATTCCTAGAGGTGTGTCTGCGTATTTATTTACATTTCTTCGACATAGCTTGGCGGTCGTTGTGGAGCGGAGAACAACAGCGAAGTGAGTATCATCCGATGTTCAGAATGAGCTTTATACTGCCGCTCTCTTGCCGTCTTTAAATAATAAAAAAACAGAGAGAACCGGTCACCCGGTGCTCTTATCAGGAATACTAAGTAGTTTGGCCGGCTACGCGAGTACAAACATATAATATATTGCCTTTATACATACACAAGCGTACATTTTTTATATAGAATAAATGTAACTCTCTTTTTGTTTTGGACCTATTGACTGCTGCCGATAGTTGATACGGCCTGGCACAAAGATCTAGCTCTCACTTCGAGCTGATCAAACCAACACTGGTTAGCAAAATAAGTTCATATTATATTTAACCAAATTAAACACATTTAGGGTTTTAAGTTAACATTTTTAAATAAGTGAATCAAAGTTGGAGAATAATACCTAAATTGAATAATAACCACTACATAATTATACCTTGGGTGAGAGAAAAAAACGAAATTTTCAATGAAAAAATAAATCAATTTGGGAACTTTTTTACTTTAAATACTGTAGATAATCGTCTTACAAAATTAATTGGCACATCAGTACTCGGAGTTCAGATCGGTTATTAAACTTGAAGTCTAATGTATTTTGTTTTAATGAGCGAGATTAGCTAGCTTATCACTAGCCGAACTGGATTGATAAAGATTATGCCTTGGTAGGCGCTTCATATGGAGTTGACCTAGGCCAAGAAGCAGTTATTCGACGTTGCGTGACTTGTACATTCTTCATTCTTGTATGGGTTTTTGTATTTTTGTAATGCTCTTTATTTGGTAATATATAAGTACAGTTTTAAGGCTAATTCTTGGGCGAAAGGCGCACGGGCACTCCCCCTTTGGGCTGCGGGATCATTCCGTGCACTCCATACTCAATCTCCTGCTTCTCCTTTCTGACTTCCAGGTCGAAATTGGAAAGAACCTTGGCTAACGCTAACTTCGCATTCAGCTTTCCCATGCGGGCTCCTATAAAATTAAAAAAAAATAGTAACGACAAGGAAGAAAGGTATCTTAAATATTCCTTACCTATGCAATGGCGGGGTCCGTCGCCAAATCCCATATACGCAGCCGGATTGAAGTTCTTGTTGCCCTCCAAAAAGCGTTCCGGCTGATAACTGAGAGGATCGGGGAAATGCTTGGCATCCCGATGCAATCCCATAAGGGGTATCAGTATTGGTGTGCCCTTCTTGATAACCAGATTGCTATCCGGAACTGGAAAGTCCTGGGTGCAGACTCGGTTCATGACGGCCAGAGCGGGATATTTCCGGGTGGATTCTGCAAGACAAAATATATGTATAGCTTGACTTGGTTTTGTTCAAAAACTTACCCATCACACAGGCATCCAAGTACTTCATTGCTGAAAGGGCATCGTAGTTCAGACCACCGTGCTGCTCAATGGCCTGGAGCACATCCTCCTGTGCCTTGGCCAACACCTCCGGGTTTTGTGTGAGCTCGTAGAGTGTAAAGGAAATGCTGTAGGCAGTGGTTTCGTGACCAGCGCCGTAGAAGACGAACATCTGGCCAGCAATCAGGTCTTTGGACATCGATTTAAAACCATCTTTGGAGCTCTCCGATGACCAAACGGAATCATCCGTGTTGATTTTTCCCTGATTTCGCAACTGGAGCAAAAGTTGCAGTAAGTCTTTGCGAACAATGTTGTTCTTTTCCCTGAGATCCACGACCCTGTGGGTTAGTTGTCGCATCATTTCAATGCCCTCTTGTTTCCATCCGCTTCGCACGAAGAACTTCTCTATTCTGTAGTGGATTTGTGATCAAATACGGCTGATTGTTAAGAATTTCAAATAATATCTTACGCAGGAAAAAGTAATAGGGCGTTGATGCGAACAATATCCGACAAGGTGTTCCGATTTAGCTTTCTGCTAATTTCAATAAATTCGTTTTGGGGATCTGCAAAACTGTCTACCTCCAGGCCAAAAATAGTCGAGGCAACTATATCAATCGCGTAACTAGGGAGGAACGAATAAAAACCAAATATAATTGAAATTTACGTTCCAGAGATAAACAAATTTCCAGGGTGCACTGAGAGAATCAAGGTTTTCCGCCAACTCACGTTGTCATGACGCTCTTCATGTCCAATTCCTTGCCCCCGGACTGCTCACATTCTTTCCTCAAGTACGCTAGTAACTTGTCTCCCACAGCATTGGAGGTCTCAAACATGGCCTTTAGTTTGCCAGAGGTAAATGAGGGCGTCAGCTTGGCCCGCAGGCTCTTCCACCCGGCTCCCTCCATATGGAATAATCCCGCCGACATGGGATCATTCTTCTCGTCCACGTAGACTCCGCGATCGTGGAAGCTGGCAAAGTCCTTGACGAGCATATCGTGGGCCAGCTGTGCATCACGGACCATCAGAGCGGGTCTCACGGAGAGATAAGTGCCAACAACCGGTCCCTTTGTGGAGTTGTACAGGTCGCAGATGGCCATGCCAGGGGAATGTTTTTTCCGCCGTACGGAGTCAAGAACACCGAAGGGAATGTTAACACCCGCCGAGGGAAAGCCCTTACGGTCCCAATAGCTGAATGTCCACTTAAGGTACACATACAGCAGGGTGGCAGCCGTGATCAGCAGCACTATTCCGATCATGATTCGTATTGTCAGCTTTTTTTGCAAGTCAAATCGAGACTAAACGGCCGGACTCGGACTGTGTTTATATACTCGCCTAGGAGTTCCCCAAAAAATGGTGTCTTCTCAGTATGACCACTAACCATACAACATATAGACTGGTCATTTCATACAACGAAAATGGACACAAAAATTTCCTAACATGCGGTCCCATGTTAACTGTTTGCTGTTAGCGACAGACCGTCTGTTAGATTTTAGCTGTTAGCGTCCCGTCCCATGTTAGCTGTCAGCTGTTAGCGTCAGGCCTTTACATGTATGCGTGTTCATGCATTCACGTACACGGGTGCATGTGTGCGATCGTTTCATTTCGGGCCAGCAAGAATATTTGGTCTTTTGCTACTTTTCGCGCTAGGTACCCTAACAATATGGGCATATTCGCTATTGGGTTAATGATAAAAATAAGAATGTTATATGTTATAATACATTTCTTAATGTTTCAGCATACATTTCATATTTGTTTACAATTCAAATTAGTGGCAGCAGTGAAGTGTGTTGCATATATGTACATATATATTCGAATGAATAAAATTTCATCTACTGAGATAGGAACAGGGCATATTGCAGTCGGTGTCACTTAAAACAGAGACGGGCACGAGATCTAACGGTTTGGGTAGCAGCTCGGCCAAAAAAAAAAAAAACAACAACAACAACCCCCAGCGTCTCGACGCGTTGCAGCACACAGAATGTGCAAGCGATCGCGAGCACCGACTGCAATATGCCCTGTTCCTATCTCAGTAGATGGATTGTTATTCATTCGAATACATATGTATGTACATATATGCAACACATTTCACTGCTGCCACTAATTTGAATTGTAAACAAATATGAAATGTATGCTGAAACATTAAGAAATGTATTATAACATATAACATTCTTATTTTTATCATTAACCCAATAGCGAATATGCCCATATTGTTAGGGTACCTAGCGCGAAAAGTAGCAAAAGACCAAATATTCTTGCTGGCCCGAAATGAAACGATCGCACACATGCACCCGTGTACGTGAATGCATGAACACGCATACATGTAAAGGCCTGACGCTAACAGCTGACAGCTAACATGGGACGGGACGCTAACAGCTAAAATCTAACAGACGGTCTGTCGCTAACAGCAAACAGTTAACATGGGACCGCATGTTAGGAAATTTTTGTGTCCATTTTCGTTGTATGAAATGACCAGTCTATATGTTGTATGGTTAGTGGTATGACACAGCGATTTGGGGTTTCTCTGTTGAGAAAATGCCGACGAAGCATTATAATCGGAGGAGATAACGTTTTCTATTCGTTACCTAGGCAACACTGTGCCTGGGAAATCATTCTCCTTAATATTGTTTGACAACATTCATATCTATTGCACGCAGGTTTTTTGTTTTAAAATTTAAATAATTTACAATTCCGCCCCTAGAAATTAAAAAAAAAAAACATGGCAACATCTACGTTTGTGTTGGCAGCGAATCCAAAAATCCTATTCCTATTCCGGCATTATTTTTCAAATTTAACTGACAACAAGCTCCGTTTATCGATAGCGATGGGAATGCTCTGATGACGGTATAGGATAGATTATCGTAGGCACTTTATACCTACACAAAATTAATGGAAAATTGCCTGGTTAATTATAGTTATTAAAAAAAAAACAGTGCAATCCAAGGATATACTCTTTATATTCTTCTCAAATAATTATTAAGTATTTTAAGCTTTTGCATCTTTTCATTTCAATCCCCCTTATTAAAATATACAAATTCTGTAGCCACATTGGGTTTTAAGTATTGATGCCATCATTATTTTGTAATAATTTAACCACTCTGTTAATTTGTTGTTTTTAATTTATTATTAAAATTAAACATATTCCATTTTCCATATTCCATGTTTCATATTCAATGTTCCGAATATCTGACGAACAGTTTGACAACACTGGTTCAAGTATTTCTTAGATATTTTAACGGTCAAAACACGGTCACGCTCACCTGATCATGTAAACACCAAAATGCGGTTTTTAAGAAGTTCCAATCTATTGACCCTTCTCCCAACGCGTAACTCCTCCACACACTCCGGACGCCGGCGGGTGGTGATAACAGGAAGTGGCGCCGTAACTCCATTGGCCAACAACGCAGGGGATTCATGGCGGCGCATCTTGGCCGGGGAATCAGCCATTTCCCAACTGGGACCTGAGTTCAAGGGCTTACCGTGTCAGGTGGCTGCCCGGATAGACAGGGAGAAGCTCCAATTGGAGAAGCCCCTAAGCAAGGCGGACATGAAGCTTATGAGTCCGGCTACCCAACTGGCTGTCTTGGCGGCGGAGGAGGCTCTACAAGCTGGGAGGCTGAACCCCAAGGATATGAGCGAGGAGCAACGTGAGCGATTCGGAGTCTGCGTGGGCATGGGCATGTTCGATCTTACGGAGGTCTACGGCGCCTGGCAGCAACTCCAGCGAGGCTATAACCGCGTGAGCCCCTTCTTTGTGCCACGGCTGCTGCCCAGCATGGCCTGTGGTCACATAAGCATGCGGCATGGCCTCAGAGGACCCAACCACTCGGTGTCCACAGCCTGCGCCACTGGTGCCCATGCCCTGGGCGATGCCATGCGCTTTATTCGCAATGGAGATGCGGATGTGATGCTGGCTGGAAGCGGTGAATCCTGCATAGATCCTCTTTCCATTGCCGGCTTCTGCAGATTGCGTGCCCTTAGTACCGCTTTCAATGATAACCCAGCGGTGGCTTCCCGACCCTTTGACAAATCTCGTGACGGCTTTGTGATGGGGGAGGGGGCAGCCGTTCTTTTGCTTGAGGAACTGGAACATGCCCGCTCGCGAGGAGCCCCGATCCTGGCCGAGTTATTGGGTTACGGCCTGTCCGGCGATGCGTTTCACATAACCTCCCCCAGTGAGAATGGGGAGGGAGCTACTCTGGCTATGAAAAGAGCCATACAGGATGCCGGGATTAAGCCGGAGGAGATTACGTATGTGAATGCCCATGCCACATCCACGCCGACCGGTGACCGCATTGAATCGCACGCCATTGGACGAGTCTTTGGCGAGCACACCTGTCAGGTGAGGGTTTCTTCCACGAAAGGAGCCCACGGCCATCTGCTCGGCTCCTCGGGCAATCTAGAGGCCCTATTCGTGGTGCACGCTTGTGCAGACAGCAAGCTGCCACCTTCCATCAACATAGAGGAGCTGGATGTGGACGTGAAAGTGGACGTGGTCAGGGCAGCAGACGAATGGACGCCGAACCAGGGACGTCGTGTTGCTCTCAAGAACTCTTTTGGATTCGGAGGAACCAATGCCTCGCTGTGCATTGCCAGCTTTTCCGAATAGGTTTCCACAAATTGTTAACTAGTTTTAACCAAACGCCATAGAAAATAAAATGTTCAAAAGCTGAGATGTTCTTAGGAAAAGTGTTTAGTTTTAAAACTTTATTTGGAAAACGTTTTCTTCACTGTGGTGGCCGCCATCGCTGCGTCATTTCGTTTGTTTCTTGCTCTGTAAAAATTGTTATGCATACTGTATTTATCCACTGTTACTGTTATATTTGTATATCTGTATATAATATATATATATAGGTATATAATTATGTATACAGCTCTGTTTGATTTGCTTCTGTTGCTTGTCTCTGTTGTGCTTGCTCGTCTTCAAGATGCTTAGATATTGGATGTTTGTGTTTTGGGAAGTAAATGAAAACCAGTTAATAAGTCTATTTGCTGGATAATCCTGACACATGCTCGCGACGTGTTGTTGACATTAGTGGCAGCAGCTTTCGGCTCGCTCGTTCGTTTCTCTCGTCACTTAACTAACAATTTTTAATTTGAAGTGATTTATTATTTTACAAAAATTGCTTAGGTCGTAAGTTAAAAGTATGTTGTTGGCTTACAATCGAATCTTCGTCATAATCATTTAATTTTAGTGGGTATCCTCCTCGATGCTCTTCTGGCGTTTGCCAACCTGCCCTGCTCTACCCCTAGTCATTACTTTTTACGATCCTTATTGATACATTTATTATTGATACATTTTTAAATGTAATTGCGGCTTAGATTCTTATTAAATTTATATGCGTCAATAATATATGCTAGATGCGGTTGGTTGTGTGTGGGATGAGTATGATGATAGCTCTTTAGATTACTGAACATTCGTTTGTCTGTGTTTACATAAATTATGAAAATACATTTTATTCGAATTTTTAACGTTTTACTTCTTTACTGTACAATTTTTGTTTTAGTGTGTGGTTTCCCATTAGTAAGTAGTTACAGCGTAAAATTTGTAAACAACTTTTCTAAAACTTTGCACGTGTCACACATTTATTAACAATTTTAAATCCCTTATCTTTTCAAATCTTCTCAAAGCATTCAAAAATAATTCCCAATATCTGCTATGTGCATTCAATTCAATTCTGGACTGCCAAACATTTAAATAAAACGTACGGGAGAGGCCTTTTAATTTCATAATTACGTATCTGGTTCTTAGCTAGAATTAGGCTTAGGAAATTAAACGGAGAAGAACTTTAAAGCGACGGAAAAACACATGTATATTGAGACTAACATGCATATATTTTAAAATAGACCAATGCAGAAGCCCACATTTTGTAAGTAAAAGTGTTGTCAGTGTGTTGCGTGTGTGTTGTGTGTTAAGTTGTAATTTAAAAAATTATATAAATTATTTATAAATATTTTGTGGTTCTCGCTCGCATGCCTAACACTTTCTATCTTACTATTTTTGCTTTGTTTAAAAAAGATACCTATTTAAGCGCTATTAAAGTGGATTTGTGTTGCTTGTTTTTCCTACATGTCGTCTCACAGTGAGGCTGTAACTACACTGATCCTAAGTTAATGCCTGTTCTGTCGGTCTGTCTGTCCGTGCTGTGGGAGATGTGGGAGTGTTTATGCTCCGGGGGTATGTACATGGCAAGCCCGTTTTGACCAGAGAATGCGCTAGTTAAGCAGTGCATCCATGGTATATGGAAATGGAGGGTGTTGCTGCTGGTCGTATCTGTTTGCTGAAGACGATAACAACAACTTGGTTGCCGATGCCGATGCCCCTGATGCACCAGATTTTGCCATTTTGCTTGCCGTCGACGGTCAGTCCAATATGACAATTTGTGATTCAATGGGCCTGCTACTCGGCTCCGGCACCGCAGGCTTTATAGGCAGTATGCGCCACGGCTTGCGCGCCGCACGACGCAAGTCCACGGCAGAGAGTATTTTTCTCGTTTTTCTGCAGCACAACACAAACAGGAAATAAATATTTATGGGCTTGTTCGTTATTCCTCATTACTCACTTGTGGTTATCGTTGGCCCTAAAGTAAACATCGTCCGGTGCATCCATCCAACTGATGACCTGTTTGCGTCCATTGCCCCCACGGGCCATTTGTGCAATCTTCTGCTTGCCATTGAGCTAGATACCAACCAAAGTACATAAACTAGTCAATATTTAATTAAATAAAGGCCTGATAGTTACTCACATGATGCCGGGAGAGCGGCTGTCCAGATGCCGCCATCATTGCCGCAAACTGTTCTGGGCTGGGGCAATGGGAGGGCATGGGATCCTTATTGGGGCGCTTGGCCGGCGGTCCGCTGGGAACTATAGTAACTGTAATATAGTATAAAAAGTAGAATATATAATTTTAGCATCATCTTTTTTTAGTTCTTGAATTAAAAGAATTACCGATTGAAAAAAATATTTAATTATCGTTTTAACTAAAATTAATTTCCGTTTTATAATTATTTATTTTACTTAATTATCTAATATCTTAAAGATGTGACGCCACTTACCCTCAGTGCCATTCAGCTGCTGCTGGTCGTCGTGGGCGCGCTTCCGTATCGTCGAAGTGGCTTGCGTTGGAATTATGGTAAGCTCCTTGTCGGCCGAGACGGCGACTATGTCGGGCGACTTGTTGGGCACTCGTTCGTACACTAAACTGCCGTCGGCAGCTTTCGGAGGTTTGGGGAATGAGACAAAGAGTGGAAGCGGCATCTTGTCCTTGGGTGTTAATATAAGCCACTCGTGCGGACCACTGCCCGGTGCCCCAAGACGATTGGCAATCTTGGTTACACTTCCCCGATCCTTGGGCTTCAGCAAGAGTAGTTTTTTGATCTCAGCTTGCGACTTTCCACTAATACGATTCGTAACTGAGAGACGAAAAGAAAAACCGGGATGGATTAGATTTGCCTTGCTTCGTAAATGTTATCTCTAAGCTATAAAAGACTCACATTCTTGCTTAACCAGCAGTGCGTTGATGGCATACGCACTCTGCCGCGCTGCCTTTTTAGGCTTGACGATGCTGCGGCAGATTGCGCGCGCTACTCGGGTCATGGGATTGGTGTGCAAGTAAAAGGCAGTGCGCGTCTTCATGATGGGCCGCGGCGATCCAGAGCTGATGGCGATGCCATGCGCTTGCGCATAGTGGCGTGCCAGGTGGGTCTTCAGCTTAAACTCCTTGCCACAATTGACAATGGAACATCTAAGGCAAAAGGCACCGCATTAGAGCATAACTAAATTGAAAAAATGTTATTTTAATGCTCTTTTTTACCTGTGCAACTGACGATTGGATAGATCACTGATTTTGTCGTCATCATTTAGGTCGACCACTGCAGTGGGGGTTGCACCTGCTGCACCTGATATTGCTGACGTCGCTGATGGCGTCGTTAGAGCCGTCGATGCCTTCTTTTTGGCATCGCTGCTGTCGCCGCCGCCATCGCCCTTGGTCGCAGACTTCATACTACCATACTTGCGCCAATATTCCCAGCAGCTCTGGCACAGGCGACACGTACTGTGACCGGTGCTGATCGAGTTCCACTATGGCGGGTAGATTGCAAATAAATATAAGAATATATATAAATTAATTTATTTGTACCTGTGATGATTTAGTTGCTCCGCACGATTCGCAGGGTTTGCCATTGTTGGAGAGATCGGTGCTTCCGTTGGTGGTGGTGCCGTTGTATACACCGCCGCCCGCCGCCTTAACCGAGGATCCGTTGCCCTTGCTGCCATTGTTGTTGTATTGCGGTATGTAGACCTGCTTGAGCTTCAGTTCCGCCTCCACGGCCTTTACGCGCTTCTGCTGCACATAGCGATCGGTGGTTTTCCACATGTAGTAATACTCGATGATTTGTTTCAGCGTCTTCCAAGGCAGCTTTGGTGGAGATAAATTATGATAAAATGCAAATATTTAATAATAATAATAAAAAATTTACTTACGAAATCTTGTCGAATGTCATTGAAGTCTTTTCCATATTTGTCCAGAGCCTCCTCAAAGAGATTCGCCTCCGAGGCGCTCCAGTCTTCGATTTCATCGCGACAGAGCACAGGCCCAGTGGAAGGAACTAGTGAGGACATGGCCTCCTCGATCGAGTACTCATGCTTGTGCAGAATGTTCATTGCGTGAAACTGGAAGGAGACTAAGATTAATACCCGGAATAAGTAAGGAATAGCTCCTTCCACCTACCAGTGTAATGTCCCTGCTAGCTGCTGCGGCGGACATGTGTAGCGAGGGCTGTTTCACCGAACTGCTACAGTCGAGGGCACGGGCAAAGGTGCCAATGGAACGCGAGACCACAAGAAACTGGTCGATTTTGCGATCGGTCAAACTGTGCTCGGGCGTCCACACTAGCGACTCCAGCTCCTCCAGTTTGCGCTCATCCAGGGCGGTGTCCTTGAGCTTTGCGGGTATATCACACTGATAGCGACTGCCGACTCGGATCTCACCCTTGTCGGCGAGCAGAGTCTTTTGATTTGGATCGAACACCAGACAGTAGAAGAATGTGTCCTATAGAAGTCAAGAAAAAAAAGAGGTATAATTTGTAATTGCCATTTCATTTAAAGAAATTAATATGCAAAGGATGCTCACTACTTTTAAATTCAACGAAATAATAATATTTATTTATTTTAAACCCCGATTTGCATCCTGTTGTGCATATATAACATTAAGGTTTTTTCCTGACCGGGGAAACTACTACCAACTCACGTCTTTATTGAGATAGCTCTGAAGGGATTCCGTCTCGTTTAGCAGCGTCACCGAGCACTTTCCTCGGATTTGTGTGGCGGGTATCGACTCAACTTGGCGTGAGAGGAACAGCTCGCGATGCTTGATCTGGTAGCGTTGCTTGCTGGTTAGGGCCTCACCCTTCTCCGCTACCCCGCCACCTGCTCCTCCAGCGCCGCCGCTGGCAGTGCTGTTGTTGGTGCCAGAATTGGCGGTCACTGAGCCAGCAGCGCCCGACGATTGCGTCGGACTGGTGCGCTCCTCATCCAGGGCAGCTGCAAGAAAAGAAAGTCAGCAATGAGTAAATAAAAACCATCTTTCGTTTATGTTTTTTTTTTTTTTTTACTTAATAATTTATGTTTTTATAAATAACAAGCTAAAAGTATTGAAATAGTCATTAGGAAATTCAGTAAGAAATAAGTGGTATTAAGAGGTAAGACACAAAAATATAATATAAAAAAAAAATAAAAGATACAACTACAGTAGCCGATGGCTTATTTCGTGCACCAATAGACGAATTTTTCTTTCTAGAAATTCCACGAAACTGTTTTGCAAATCAATAGCTTGATTCCTCTTAAACCATTAATTTGCAGCACAATGCAATGTAGATAAATAATAATTATACACTAATATCGGAAGAAAATAGGAGCAAGCAATACCACAGAAAATCAGATAATTATTTCAATAACTACTTTTAAATTAATTAACATATTAAATATCTGCTTAGACTACTTAACAACACTACAGAAACTATTAAGCTTGATATAAAGTTTAAAGTGAAGGAATAGATTAAAGAAAAGTACAAGTATGATCTACATAAACAGATGTGCATTCAAAAGCTAATATGATTTCTTTAGTTGAAGGAGGTACCTATTGAGGGATCAAGCACAGCCTGCGCCGCCTGCTCCTCGCCCACGGGTGTGCGGAGCCAGGTCTTCTTCAACTTGGTCGCCAGCGGTGAGTCCTCAGCTGTGGCCACTGATTTGTTGCGATATTTTTGGTTGGTTTTGAAGAATTTCAATTTTGGTGAAATATGTTTATTTACAAGGTTCATGGTTTACAACAAAATATTAATAATAATTGTTAAATAATAAAAATGTAGCAAAAAGAGTCAATGTCGTTGACAATAAGTAATCAAAGGAATTGTGGATTACCAATTGATTTTTTGTTTAATATGTCAAGCAGTAAAGGGTATTAACCCTTAATTAAATAATTAAAAAACATTTAACTAATTGATTTTAATCCATCCTTTCTTATCACTTATTCTATTTTAGGTACAGTGTCATCATAGCTTAAGAATTTGCGTTTTATTTACGGGTACACTTGTGCCGCTAATTGTCAATGACTAATTAGCAAGTGGCCAGTAAACACACGACTCACGCCTTCAAAACTCGCAGACAAAAAAAAAAAATATAACATATAATAATGAGCAAGGAGGCATGGATTCGATGAATTTAGGGCCAAAAGGGGTTGTGTTAATGGGCATTGTTGGCGCATGTCATGGGGTGGAGGCCGCCAGCTTCATGGAAAACGCATTTTCCGTTGGGTCACGTATCAAATTTGAGTGGGTGGTTAAAGCCAAAAACTCAACCCAGTTGTATTTCTTTTTTGAGAGGCGTCGAAATGGGCTGGAAGTCGTCGGTTGACGCCAAAAGGTGGTGAGGGGTGAAGGCGTTGTGTGTATGTATACACAAATGCAAAGCGCGCCTCGCTGCGTGTGCCACATTGCTATAGCTCCATCCACACTCCTCTACAATCCACTCCCCGGCAATCCCCTCCAGATCCCCAACCCCTACCTCTTGGTTGCAAATTTTCGTGCACACACACAGCACACAGTATCCGTGGGTACGGATATATATGTTTGGCCCAGGTTTTCAGATGTAGACAGCAAGTCTACCTTCAGCCGAGCGCCGAGAGTATCACATTCACATTGACGCCGGCGCCGCCTAGCAGCCACCCGAAAACAGCAAAAACTCCGGCAACCACAACATCAAGGGTACAGTGCAGCTCAGCTCATTATCTTAAAAAAAAAAAAACCTGAGCAGGTTTCCGTATAGATTACATTGACATGACTGACTCTTCAAATTAAATAAAAATAATGAGTTTATGAGAGGCTTAAGTAGATGTAAGAACTTTAAGCATTTAATATTCAGATGTAAATAATTAAAAACAATATTAAAAATACGTACATATATTCAATAATATGTAAAAAAGACGACCCATTGGGTATTATAAAAAAAAACCTAAAACAGTCTGAATACCGGCATAACCTTATATGCTAAGATACACCTTTCTCCAATCAAGTTTTTGCTTATTTTCATTCGACTCTCCTCCTAGGTAATAAATTGTACTACGAAATCTTAAAAATAATATTAATATAAAAGCTTACTAGATTGCAATATTTGTTCTTTTGTATTTGGGTAATTTTTGCCGAGTTTTGAACCTGCAGTGCCTGAATTTGTAGAAGCTCATAATGGAAGCTGCACGAAATACCTTTTTTTTTCAAATATTTTACATTTGTTGTAATTGCGTTTCTTGTCGTCGGGGATGCTTCACCTCTGTTATGGGGCTCTTGTTTAGCGAAGGGGATTTGTGTGGTTCTATTATAGGAGGAGTGGTGGGTGAATGACACATTACACACAATGCCGCATTTTATGTTTTTGGGGTCTGCCCTGTGGTGGACATGTTGTTTAATCTTTTAACTAGTTTGAAGGCCACGACAACGACTCTGCTGCGATACATAACCTCACTTAGTCACAAAAAAGTATATGTACTTATAGATACAAATATTGCCGGAGGATGTGGGCAGTACTTACGTTGGTGTTTGTCGGCCAGTTGTACGAGAGGATTGGGCAGATCCCGGCGCCGGTAGAAGCACATGACCTTTGCCTCCACATTGCCGGTTTGGTTTTTATTCAGCTCCTCGATTCGCCGTATTAAGTAGGGACTATTCAGCGTTGTCTCAACGTAGACGTAGTCTGCAAAACGAGCATTGAAAAAATTGTACGGCATAAAAAAGGGGGGCGGGGCGAAAGAGGGAAATGGAGGAAGAGTAGAAACCCCATTCATACGTCACAGGTAAACGCACACGCACAAAGCACTTAATTACGACTGGCCACTTATACCAAGAAAGGCGCAATTAAACACAGAAGCGTTTTCAACTTGAGTTGACCATTAAAAAAATTAAAATGCAACAGCAAAAGAAATTTAAAAGAAAAACATCGTAATAACGAGTGCATCTGTCAATTTTTAAGATGCAGAAATCAACATCAAAATATAGATACGAGATGAAAAAGAAAGTGTGGAGGTAGCGAGAAAGCACAGTTAAAGATATGTATATATGTGTGTGCTATTAAAAATGGCAAACAAAAAGCACTGATTAATTTCCAGTCATAGGAATGGGCAATTTCACAAAAGCACACAGTCTAAATAACTCGCACATGCACCTTGTTATTTATTTTGATTCTTTTAATTAAACGTTGGCGTTTTGAGGCTTATTTGCATTTCGAAATAGCTCACACACACAAATGCACACAGGCACCCATGAAAAGCAGGTGAAGAAACAGAATAACGTCATCACATAAGAGCGAACGGGATGGAGTATGCTATAACCGGAGTTTGGAAGAATGGGGAGGGGTACTTTAACGGAGGGGGAAAGGGAAGATGCTCAGAAAGAAGCTCATTAGCATAAGAAAACACAATAAAGTGGGTGGCACTCTCAAACATTGGATACACTTTTATAAGCACAAACACACACACAAACAAGCACACGTTTGGAGATCACAATTCGGCAAATGCAATTCCATTTCCCAGCCCTAGAATACACAGGCACACATACAAAACTAATGCTTATCGGTTTGAGGATTTCTTTGGAAACACTTGCTGCAGTAGCGTCACCGATCAGAATCCCCTGCCCCACGAACAAAAAAATATTATTACTCTTGCCAGAATTTGGCTCCAATGTGATAACACACACTGGCGAGCTTGGGGATTTCGGCAATTTTAAATGCACTTCCATTATTTTCAAAGCCTCCGCAGACACAACACACACACACACACGCAGGCCACGCACACCGTGGGACGGCGGCGCCGATAACGAAAGATGATAGAAAAGCGAGTAGGGGAAAATTTTTTCTCACCTCCGACTCGATACATATTTGTGGCCATTTTCACTACGCTTCCGCACCAAAACTTTCACATGTAAAACACTCGGCACACGCTAAGCTCTGTTTTTCACTAGTTCTGCTTCAAATTAGCGCACATTTATTAGCAAAAAAGACGAGTTGTTATGATTGCATTTTTCACATAAGACGCGTTTTTTTCGTCGCCATCTTAGAAACAACCAACTCTAAAAAATACACACACACACAACGCCAAGTAAACAGCTGCCCCAGGGCTGCATTCTGCCGGGCGATAGTTGCAGATTATCGAAATATCGAATTAACTAAAAAATTTAAAATAAAAAATAGATCTTAAACGTAAACACGGTAAGTTTAAGATAAAGCGCATCACACATGCATTTGCTTTGCCTTAACTACTAATTAAGGTCTTTAAAAATATAGTTAAAATGTTGTCAGAATTTCTTATAACTCAAGTTATATTATATTAATTAATAGAAACTTCTGAATTTTTTGTCACTGTATAATATTTTCTTCAAATTGTAATTAAACAAATTTATTACCAAGTTTTAATTTTAGTTTCTAATAACCGTTTCACCAATCGATAGTATCGCCTAAAAACTATCTTCACTGACCTGCAACGTTTACAATCAAAATTCATTTATACGTTCGTCTTGATTTTGACCTTTCTTTATAGATTTATATAAATTAAAGTGTGCAATTTTTCTTTGATAAACTTGTGGATAATTTACTAGTTTTTGTGTTGTTTTGCGTGAGTACATTTACCGTCGCGAACACGAAACAGAGTCACGACCAGCTGTCAGATTCGTGACGTGGCCTGCCGACCGATTTTTCCCAATTGGCAGCGGAGTTAAATTTGATTATCCCGTCTAAATAGTATATTTAAGAGCTGTTGAGGCGATGACCACCTACGAGGAGTTCATCCAGCAGAACGAGGACCGCGACGGGGTGCGGCTGACGTGGAATGTGTGGCCCTCGAGCCGCATCGACGCGAGTCGCTTGGTGGTGCCCCTCGCCTGTCTCTATCAGCCATTGAAGGAGCGCCCTGACCTGCCTCCCATCCAATATGAGCCTGTGCTGTGCACCCGGAGCAATTGCAGGGCGATCCTCAATCCACTGTGCCAGGTGGACTATCGGGCAAAGTTGTGGGTTTGCAACTTCTGTTTCCAGCGGAATCCGGTGAGTAATCAAGTGAGCACTCTCTCTGGTAAACTTTAACCCCTGTGTTTTTTCAGTTCCCCCCTCAATATGCAGCCATTTCCGAGCAGCACCAGCCCGCAGAGTTGATTCCTGGCTTCAGTACCATCGAGTACACCATTACTCGGGCTCCCACCATGCCGCCCGTGTTTGTTTTCCTGGTAGACACCTGCATGGATGAGGAAGAATTGGACGCACTGAAAGACTCGTTGCAAATGTCCCTGAGTCTACTGCCGCCGAACGCCCTGGTTGGTTTGATTACCTTCGGCAAGATGATCCAGGTGCACGAGCTAGGCGCCGAGGGATGCTCCAAAAGCTATGTGTTTCGCGGGACCAAGGATCTGACCGCGAAGCAGGTGCAGGATATGCTCGGTATTGGACGTGGAGCGGCTCCGGGGCCGCAACAGCAGCAGCAGATACCTGGCCAGCCGGCTGGAGCTGCGGCCCCAGTGCCGCCCGCGCACCGCTTTCTGCAGCCAATCGGCCAGTGCGACGCTGCATTGGGCGATTTGCTCAGCGAGCTGCAACGCGATCCCTGGCCGGTGCCCCAGGGCAAACGCTACCTGCGCTCCACTGGCGCCGCTTTGTCCATTGCAGTGGGTCTGCTAGAGTGCACCTACCCGAATACGGGAGGACGCATCATGACCTTTGTGGGTGGACCTTGCTCCCAGGGCCCCGGTCAGGTGGTCGACGATGAGCTTAAGCACCCGATTCGATCGCACCACGACATCCATAAGGACAACGTCCGTTTCATGAAGAAGGCAATCAAGCATTTCGATGCCTTAGCTTTGAGGGCCGCCACCAATGGGCACAGCGTTGATATATACTCTTGTGCCCTGGATCAAACAGGCCTATTGGAGATGAAGCAGTTGTGCAACTCCACTGGAGGACACATGGTCATGGGCGATTCGTTTAACTCGTCGCTCTTTAAGCAAACATTCCAGCGTGTGTTTGCGCGCGATGGTCGCAACGATCTAAAGATGGCCTTTAATGCCACGCTAGAGGTGAAGTGCTCGCGCGAGCTGAAGATCTCCGGTGGGATCGGCTCGTGTGTGTCGCTGAATGTGAAAAGCCCGTCGGTGTCGGATGTGGAGATCGGCATGGGCAATACGGTCCAGTGGAAGCTGTGCACCCTGAACCCCAGCTCCACGGTGGCCTACTTCTTTGAGGTGGTTAACCAGCATGCAGCGCCCATTCCGCAGGGCGGGCGCGGCTGTATACAGTTCATAACGCAGTATCAGCATCCGAGCGGCCAGCGGCGCATCAGAGTCACCACCCTGGCCAGAAAGTAAGTGATATTAGAAAGTACTCAGAGCTTTTTAACTAAAGTTATGCATCTGTTTGTTCCTCAGTTGGGCGGATGCCACGTCCAATGTCCACCATATCAGCGCCGGGTTTGACCAGGAGGCTGCCGCTGTACTGATGGCCCGCATGGTTGTCTATCGTGCGGAGACGGACGAGGGGCCTGATATTCTGCGCTGGGTTGATCGTCAGCTCATCCGCTTGGTAAGTGCACAGCTGACAGCATTAACTAAGCTATACCTTTAACGCTTTCTTATTACTTGCAGTGCCAAAAGTTCGGCGAGTACTCGAAGGATGATCCCAACAGCTTCCGCCTGTCGCAGAACTTCAGCCTGTTCCCGCAGTTCATGTACCATTTGCGCCGTTCGCAGTTCCTGCAGGTCTTCAACAACTCGCCCGACGAGACCACATTCTACCGACACATGCTGATGCGCGAGGACCTCACCCAGTCGCTTATTATGATCCAGCCGATACTCTACAGCTACTCGTTCAACGGCCCACCAGAGCCCGTGCTTCTCGACACAGCCTCGATCCAGGCTGATCGCATCCTTTTGATGGATACATTTTTCCAGATCCTGATTTATCACGGCGAGACCATCGCCCAATGGCGTGCACTCAAATACCAGGACATGCCAGAGTATGAGAACTTTAAGCAGCTGCTGCAAGCGCCGGTCGACGATGCCCAAGAGATTTTGCAGACGCGCTTCCCCATGCCCCGATACATCGACACCGAGCACGGTGGATCCCAGGCGCGCTTCTTGCTGTCCAAGGTCAATCCCTCGCAAACGCACAACAACATGTACGCCTACGGGCAGGTGAGTTTCATGGCAACAGTCGCCGCCGTCGGCTGGCCATATTTAATTGATCTTTGCAGAGCGCTCATAAGTGCCATCGAATTATCTACTGAAATCTTGATCTCAATTTCGTTTTATGTTTGATTTTGTTTTCCTCATTGTGTAATCTCCGTACCCGTCCACCGCTCCCCCTATCATGCGCAGCCGTCCGTTGGTCATGTCACGGTAGTAAACTTTTGTTCAACGTTCTCCATTTATGTTGGGATGGGTTAACAAATCATTTATACACTTGTGTTGCTAATAAAGCTAAGAACTCTAAGGTCTAAGGAAGATTTAAAGAGATTACATATTTTGTAAGCTATATAACTAGGATCATTTATATGTTTTTTTTTTTTTCTTGTAAGTCTTGGAATCATTAATCTTATCTACTTGTTTACATAAATCTACTGTAGATAGATACCTCTATCTTAAGCCTTTAGTTTCCCTACAAAAATTATTTTGAGGTACTCGCAAATAGTTGTATTTCCATGGTGCTGGACTTTTCTTGGTGTTGGTTCCGCTCGCTCATTTCCCTCTAAGTTCACGAACCTTACCCCCCCCATCCATCGTTTGATTAATGTGTTTGGCTTTGTTTCGACAGGATGGTGGTGCTCCCGTTCTCACGGATGACGTGTCGCTGCAGCTGTTCATGGAGCACCTCAAGAAGCTGGCCGTTTCCACTACAACATAAATATGATACAGGACAGGATCTGGGCGACCGTCCGCGAACTCCTGGAATTCTCGGCAATGCAATTACAGATACAACATATACCCCTCTTATTCCACTTGATCGTCTGAAAACAATAAACTATTCAATATATGTTCGCTTAAGTTCATCTCGGCCTTTATTTAAACACAAAATGTCATTATGATCTACACGTTGAGCGGAATGAGCTTTCCGTAGGCAAAAACAAGGTAACAAATGGAAAAGTAGGTCGGTTTTCCATAACAACTAAAAATACATGTTGATCCGGCGTGTTCATGCAACCAAAAAGATTCTAAATTAAAGAGCTATAAAACATGTTATTCATTTATTTTTACACTTTGTGACGCTTTAAGTTTTTGTGTTTTTAATTCTAGACTTTCAAAATTCACTTATCAATTATTACGCTTTCTGAGCACCTAGAGACCTAGAGTGCTCCAAGACAAAATAGAGGTTTCAGTTACACACCGGAATGCCTCACTACTGACTCTCGACCTAAACTATTTGGTACACACTGACTAAGAAACTCGCTCTTTACCCGTGACTCCGGAAACCCAACTCAGTTGAGAAACCGAATAGACATCTTCTGATCCACATCGGTGCGGTCCAGCGCCTTGCAGAAGTCCTCAAAAGAGATTTTTCCTTGGCAGCACAAGTCCGCTTCCAGGATCGTCCGCTCCGCAATGCTTACCAGCTGATCCTGGCTAATGTTCGCCCCCACCATCATGTGCAGGATGGACAGCAGCTCATCCCGGCTGATCACACCATCGTCATCCAGGTCGTACATTTTAAAGGCAAACTTCAGCTTCTCCTCCCGGCTATTCAGCTTGCTCTGCTTATTGTCCCTGAGCGGCCGGAAGTGGGCCAGCACGTTCATGAACTGCCTGAAGTTAACTCGGTCATCGTTGCTCTCGGCAAAAAAGGAGTGCACAATTCGTTCGCACAGCGGATTAATGGCCAGTTCGGGTATACGCATGAGATCCTCCCGAGAGAGCGTTCCGCAATCGTTGCGGTCCAGCGACGTGAAGCGCGAGTAGAGCCGTTCAATTTGATTGGGAGTGACTGAGCACAGAAGGAAAATAACAAAATGAAAAATTCAGATCTTGAAACTAGATATATTTCCTGAATAGAAGTTGAAACGTAAACAAGTATACAAACGCTATAATCTATGTTATAGATTTAATTTTCACTTTTTTTTGTAGGTCGAAATTGCACTCCGCATGTAAACCTGAGCAAAAATGTTTCTCTCTGTGTACTGACTCTTTGAAGACCACGCAAGTTTCCATTTAGTTCGTTATAAATTCGGGCTGATAAGGCCGGGGGCCTCTTATCAATTTAACTGATAATTTAGCTGGTCGAACATTGGATACAAGTTCCAAATGCGGGGCCAGTTTCAATTGTTGGCTTATCGCGGCCAGAATATTGAAATTACACGGTCTCGGACACTAGATAATTGCCAGCAAAGCCAATTTCATTGATAGGACTTGACTTTTGCCCCCGTCCACTCATAAATCGGTTATACTATTATTGGCGATTGCGTCACGCTGGAAGTGCAGGTGCAACAGCAATGCAAATTAGCTTTTCGAAGAATATGTCTGTGCATATTCAGGGGTTCAGAATCATATTTTAAACTAGCAGATTGCTCAGACGCAGTTCTGAATAATGTTCTTAGGAACTTTAAAATGACCTTATGGAATCGGTTTCTTTAATGGCTTGCGAAACCGTTGAAATCACACTGGTATTTGTTTAAGACCATAAGCTTTTAGCACTCCAGTGCGATGTTATTGTTTGCTCTTGAAATATTTATTTATATCTAAATGCGTATTTGTTGTGGAACTCCTGGCGGCGGGCTAAATCTATAGGGGTCGGCCCCACTATCTGAATTCGTACTCACAGCCAGTTTCCTCCTGAATCTGGGCGATCTCCTCGTTCCGCAGAAACAGCGACGATTTATTGCCCATGATGACGTTGTTTTTGTGCGCTTTTTAGTTCTTTAAAGTTTTCCCACAAGACTCGCGATTGGCATTGATATTCCCAGTTGTTTTCAGACTGCCTGCAGCCGAAATAGCGGGAAAATATCGAAGAATTGATTGCAAAAAATACTAAAAAGTAAAATTAGTGATGGAACAAATACATACCACAGACAATAAATAAAATTTATTAAATTTTTTTTTTTAATAAAATAAGATTTTATTTACTTTCTTTCGAATAAAAACTCTTTAAAGAAAAATGTTTTTTTTATGTGTTCAGAAATTTTTAAGACTGGTTTTAACCCTTAACTTTTTATTTTTTCCTGAAAATAATTTATGATATAGCAATCAACGAAGCTTATTTATAAAATATATAAATAATTAAATTAATTTTTTACGGCTGATGTTAAAAACATCGGAAAATACCGCAAATACTAAAGTTATCGATGTATCGGTTTCACCTTCAGCACCCGGCTCATCTTTTGTTGTTGACAAAGAAAATAGCAAACGTTTATTCGGCGGATTGAAACCGCTTTGGAATTATGGACAAGTTAAATTCCACCCTAACGGCGGTCAAGAACCTGCGATCAAATGTGAAGCAGTGCTTCGAGCATTTGGCCGATGGAACCGATGGGGAGGGTGGAGAGGAGAGTCGGAATAAGTTTGTGCACGACTTCCAGGAGAGATTCGGAGCCATCAACTCGCAGTTGCGGTGGGTTAATCTATGAAAATTTGTTTCGAATCGAGTACCATTTAAGCTATTTCCCTACAGGGAAGTGGAGCAACTAATAAATGGATTGCAAGTCCCGCCCACAGCGTATTCACTGGGAAATACGGCTTACCTTGCTCAGGAAACGTCTCAGGACCGGCAGGCGCTGTACCCGCAACTGGTCAACAGCTACAAGTGGATAGATAAGGTGCACGACCACAGCTTCCTGGCTTTTAACAATCTCAACCAGAATACGCTAAGGCGTTCCTACAATTACTGCTCCCAGAAACGCCAGCGCCTGCCTTTTTCCTCGTTTAACAATGATCCAGAGTAAGACCTAAATACAACAATGTGATCACAGATATTTAAATTTTAACTGTTTTTTCCCCCTCAGCCACATAGACAAGCTGCTAAGCGAGATCAACACGGCGCCCCACACCTCGTACCGAATATTCCGCCCATTTGGTACCAATGCCGTGGCCATTGTTACCATTAGTAACGTGATGAAGGCGGCCATTGTCTTCAAGGGTGTACTGATCGAATGGGTGACCGTAAAGGGTTTCGATGAGCCCCTGGAACACGACGATCTGTGGGCAGAGTCGCGCTACGAAGTGTTCCGCAAGGTGCAGGAGCACGCCCACTCCGCCATGCTGCACTTCTTCTCACCCACATTGCCCGACTTGGCGGTGAAGAGCTATGTGACCTGGCTGAACAGCCACATCAAACTATTTCTGGAGCCCTGTAAGCGATGTGGTAAATTCGTGGCCAATGGGTTACCACCGACTTGGAGGGACTTGCGCACCCTGGAGCCGTTCCACGAGGAGTGCCGTAACTGCTGAAGGATCCGTATATCCAAAATGTAATACTAACTGATAGATGTAACTTGTATACTTCATTTATTTCAAAAAACAAAAAATTATATATTTATTTGAATGCACGCGCGCGTGTTGATTTTTAGAAATCGCTGTCGCTCGACTGAATAACTACAACGGTTTAATGCGTTTTATTTATATGGCCAGCAGGGACTGCGGCAGGAGCAGGCATCTTTGAAGTCTTCGCTTTCAACGGCATCTGCACGCCGCGTTTCAGGCACAGGCTCTCGAAGTTTGCGCGCAATGTGGCGCGTAGCTGTTCCCGCTGACGCTGCACCTGCGCGCTGTGGCACTTGAAGGCCAGCACCACATCCTGCGGAATGTAATAGGTCTCATCCTCATCCTCGTCCTCCTCGTTGTCGTCGTAATCGTCGAAGTCGTCCTACAATCGAAAGTAATGTTGAAAATTAGTCTCAAAATTTACATTGATCGTAAATATATATGAATATTGGGTTTTAAACACTGAATGGCTTTCTGGGAGGTTATAAAAACATCGTTCGCTTGACTCACCCACATCTGCAGCAACGAAAACTTGTGCTCAAATCGCGACTGATTGCCGTAGAGCAGCAAGTCGGAGACGTAGCTATTGCGAGCCGACGCCAATCCGTACATGCCGTGCTGATGCTGATCCTCATCGTGGGGTCCGTCGTGGTTGCACAGCCCATCCGAACAGGATACCTCCGAGCCCTCCGGCGACGAGACCACGCTAGATGTTCGCGAGTCGGCGTGCGAGGTGGGATCGCTGCCGTAGCCAGAGTCTCGAACATCCTGCTCGCAGGGACAGTTGGGAATGGGGGCCAGACAGTCCTCGCACTTGTCCTCGCCATTCAACTTGGCTACGACGCTCGACGAGATGCAGCTGGCCACGTCCAGGTGATCGTGATCGTCGTCCAAGGGCTGCTGGGTGTTGCTAGCCAACGGATGATGTTCCTGCTTCCGTCCTTCTGCCTTTTTCAATCCCGCTGACTGCTTCTGCTTCTTTTTCTTCGATTGCTTCTTCGGTTTCGATTTCGTTGGTTTAGACGTTAGTTGCGTTGTTTCTGGTTCCTGGTGAGAAGACTCCAAAACAATGCCATCGTCCGCCCCAGGATCGCTTTGCCCGACTTTCTCCTCATCCGCATCCATTTCCTCCTCTTGTTCGAGCTCCACTATCTCCAGCTCTATCGACTCCTCCTCCTCCTGCTCATCCGCCTCCTCGTCGGACTCGTTGGCCTCGGCGTCTTCACACTGCCGGTGCAAGTTCTTCTTCTCGTCCTTCTTCTTCTTCTTCTTGAGCTTCTTCTGCTCGCGCTTAAGCTGCTTGGCCCGCTCCGCACGACTAATCTCCTGGTAGAGTAGCTCCAGGTTGCTGATGCCCTGCTTTTGCTCCACGAACGTGTCAAAGCTGCGGCAGAGGGCGTGGACGCCCACAGCGGCCAGCACTTGGCATGCCCGCTCCTCCTCACGCAGATTCACGTAAATTCGACGCAGCCGTTCGTACATGATCATTCCGACGCAGGTCAGCACTTCCTCCTGGGCAATCTCTAGCGTCTTGGCGTGGCGTTCGCGCAGCTTCGAGTAGCTGCCGTTCACCTCCGGCTCGGCGCGCTTAATCAGCGCGTCCAGGAACTCGATCTTGTTGGTGTTCACGTGGATATGCTGGTCGGGCACACATTTGCGGATGTGGGCGTACAACTGAACCGCGTAGCCCTTCTCCTTAGCCGAAATTTCGCCAATGAGTATTTTATAGGCGCGCTCAATCTACCAGAAGATCAGAAAGGAAATGATCAAGTTTTAGAAAAGTGACGCGCAGTAAAAATGATTTTGAAAATAGGTAAATATATGGTTCTGAATGTGAAGACCCGCCTGTTCTAGATACATATGCATAGATACAATATACAAGATACATCCTGGGAAGCATAAAACGCTGTTATCTTTCAACTCACCTTCGTCCGGCAGCCGGAGCAGAACTTGTGCTTCTTCAGGTAGTTCTCGAGCACGTCGTGCAACTCCTTTGTTTCAATGATGGTGAGCTCATTGCGGCAGTTGCTCTTCATGGCGGACCACACCTCGCGCCACGTCTCCGAAAAGGGTTTTGCGCGGAAGGCATCGAGCGAGTGCAGAACGCATCGCGTCTTGTTGCGCAGTTTATTATCCAGCAGGTTGTTAAGCACCTCGTGATGCCGATAGAGCAGCGTGCCCAGGGCCTGCGGCGTCTTCAGCTTCTCCTCAACGATGCCTAGCGTGTTGGTGGGTCGCAATTCCAGGGGATCTAGCGTGCGATGTCCCGACTCCGTCAGCTGGTGGAACAGGCGCTCCACACGGCGTCGACAGCCGACACACTGCACGCACTGATTAAGAATGGCCATAAAGCTGGCGCAGTCGATCTCCAGCGATTGTCGCCGTTCGGCCTCTGTGAGCAGTTTGAATTTGCGCGAGAACTCCTCTAGATCCCGACCGCGGATCATCGGACTGTCGATCACCAGTCCTTTGCTGTTCAGGTCCATTAGCATCTGAAAAGACATCGGAAAAAATAGAGAGAGTTAGAAACAAAAAGGAGAATTAGCAGGGAGAGCGAGAGAGTGACGGACGGACTGCACACAAACAGGTTCTTCCGGCTGCGCCTCGTTGTTGTTATTGCACACTTTTCGAAGAACAACATGGCGACGGCGGCGGTAGGCGAGAGGGAGAGTTGTGGGTGGCAAGAATCATAGCTCAAGTTCCCCCCTCAATACAAAAACAACAAGCCATCATCACTTATGTACATATAACCCATCATGTTATGAAAGTTTTTGGACCAAGTGCACACGCACACACCCACATATGTAGGCGTGCTTGTGTGGGTTTTTGGATGGCCTTAGCCTTACATATAGAGAGATATTGGTGCGGGTGGCAAGTAATTATGCTTACCATTAGTTTATCGCCAGCCACCAGTGGCAAATTCCTGCGGCCAACGTAACCGGAGTCATCGTCGTCCGTGTTGTAGACTTTTGTAAGTCTCGCCATGATTGCAAGGCAACGGCAAGGCAAGGCAATGGAGCAGGCACTTTACTCAGACACAGACACTTTTCTCCAGAGCTCCGGGGCGGTTGAAGGAAGGAAATGGGGGGATCAACGGGTATGCGACAGCAGCACACGGATCAACAAATAGTATTGACAATTATCTCCAACTCAATTTCAGTGCGTTCGGTCTCTCGAGATCGGTAGAAGTATTTCTTTTTATTTCAAACACGTAGTAGTCGGTCGGTCCGGTCGCCATTAAAGAGAGCAGGGTTGCTAGCGATAAAATATACCGACCAGCGTATTTCCACTAGTCAGTATTTTCTCGTTTAGCGTATGAGATACATATTGTTTCCACTACAGCTGTTGCAAATATTTAAAGTCTTACAAAACTGCTTATACGATATTTTCAGTCGTACTGGAAGTCCAAGGCCGTTAAAATTATCGGCTTTGTACTGCTAAATTAAAGGTTCGTTAGCTTAAAAAATGTATATAAGATACAAAATGTGTATTCTGGGTCGTTCTGTATACACCAACAGGCATTTTTTCTTTTTATTATTTTACTTTTGAAAGATTAATTTGTCAATAATAAGGATATAAAAAAACATATTTAAATATAATATGTACATATGTAATAAAAACAGAAATTTAGATTTAAATATATATACATTTATTTATTGGTATATTTTTGTAATCCTCCCAAATAGGCGTTGGTATAAAAAGTATATTCTTGAATGGCCGGACGGTATGATTTATCGACAATTCCGCGGTCACACTGGCGGCGTCTGTTCAATGAATTTTTTTTAGCGCGTTGACAGCCAGAACTGTGAAAATCCATCAAACTACGTGGAATTACGCTAAATATCTCGAATTAAGGGTCACAGGAAGATGTCGCATCACTACGTGGTGACGGCGCAGAAGCCGACGGCTGTTGTTGCTTGCTTGACCGGTAAGGGAAGAGCGCTGCAGGAGGGAATGCCTGTGGTTTGGTCGGCGAACAGAAAACAAGCGTGTTTGCCGGCAGCCAGATTACACAAGGAGCGATTTCACTGTATGTTTAAAATGCCTTATCCCGGCAGGAAACTTTACTTCGCCCACGGACCTCAATCTGATAATTGCGCGAAACAATCAGGTGGAAATCGATCTCGTCACACCGGAGGGCCTGCGTCCGCTCAAGGAGATCAACATAAATGGCACCGTTGCGGTAATGCGCCACTTCCGTCCGCCGGACGGCAACAAGGATCTGCTCTTTATTCTGACGCGCCGCTACAATGTCATGATCCTAGAGGCTCGAATGGTCAACGACGTTATCACCGTCGTCACCAAGGCCAATGGCAATGTGTCCGACCCGGTGGGTATTCCATCAGAGGGTGGCGTGATTGCCGCCATCGATCCGAAGGCCCGGGTCATAGGAATGTGCCTTTACCAAGGACTATTCACCATTATACCGATGGACAAGGAGGCCAGCGAGCTAAAGGCCACCAATTTGCGGTAACGTACTTCGATTTTTGGCATCTTAGGACAATTGTAATACCATGATCATTTCCCCAACTTGCAGCATGGACGAGTTGAATGTTTACGACGTGGATTTTCTGCACGGCTGCCTTAATCCTACCGTCATTGTCATCCACAAGGACAACGATGGGAGGCATGTGAAGTCACACGAGATTAACTTGCGCGAAAAGGAGTTCATGAAGATAGCCTGGAAGCAGGATAATGTGGAAACGGAGGCAACAATGCTAATTCCGGTGCCATCGCCCATCGGCGGGGTGATCGTAATTGGCAGGGAATCGATCGTTTATCACGACGGCAGTAACTACCATGCGGTCGCGCCCCTCACATTCCGGCAGAGCACCATAAATTGCTACGCTCGGGTGGATAGCAAGGGATTGCGCTATCTGCTGGGCAACATGAACGGCCAGTTGTACATGCTGTTCCTAGGCACCTCTGAAACCCCGGGCAAAGGCATAACCGTGAAGGATATCAAGGTGGAACAACTGGGGGAGATCTCTATTCCTGAGTGCATTACTTACCTGGATAATGGGTTCCTCTACATCGGCGCCCGCCACGGCGACTCTCAGCTGGTGCGCCTCAGTTCGGAATCTATTGACGGCTCCTACGTCATACCAGTGGAGAACTTTACGAACCTGGCGCCCATTCTGGACATTGCTGTCGTGGACCTGGATCGCCAGGGACAAGGGCAGATCATCACGTGCTCGGGTAGCTTCAAAGACGGATCGCTGCGCATTATTCGCATAGGGATTGGGATCCAGGAGCACGCGTGCATTGACTTGCCCGGCATTAAGGGCATGTGGTCACTGAAAGTGGGCATCGACGACAGTCCGTATGAGAACACCCTGGTGCTGGCCTTTGTGGGACACACGAGGATTCTGACGCTGTCTGGCGAGGAGGTAGAGGAGACGGAGATTTCCGGATTTGCCAGCGACCTGCAAACGTTCCTCTGTGCCAATGTGGACTATGATCAGCTGATTCAAGTCACCTCGGATAGTGTGCGCTTGGTGAAGAGCGGAACCAAGGCTTTGGTGGCCGAATGGCGGCCCGACGGCGATCGTTCGATTGGCGTTGTCTCATGCAACACCACACAGATTGTGGTGGCCTCCGCACGCGACATCTTCTATATCGTCATTGAGGATGGAAAACTGGTGGAAAAATCTCGCAAGACTTTGGCCTACGAGGTGGCTTGTCTGGACATTACACCACTGGATGAGACGCAAAATAGTTCAGATTTGGTGGCCGTGGGCTTGTGGACGGATATATCGGCTGTGATCCTGTCACTGCCCGATTTGGAGACCATCTATACCGAGAAACTAAGCGGAGGTGAGCGATAGACACTCCATTGGGCTAAAGAGACGAGAAGCAATGCTTGCATTTCCATTTCTATTGCAGAGATTATTCCGCGCTCTATTCTGATGACCACCTTCGAGGGAATACACTATTTGCTGTGCGCTTTGGGCGATGGCTCCATGTATTACTTCATTATGGATCAAACCACCGGGCAGTTAACGGATAAAAAGAAGGTGACTCTTGGCACGCAGCCCACAACACTGCGTACCTTCCGCTCCTTTGCCACGACGAATGTGTTTGCCTGCTCCGATCGCCCCACTGTGATTTACTCATCCAATCACAAGCTGGTATTCTCCAACGTCAACTTGAAGGAGGTCAATCACATGTGCTCCTTGAATGCCCAGGCCTATCCTGACAGCTTGGCGCTGGCCACCAAGAACTCCGTAATCTTGGGTACCATCGATGAGATCCAGAAGCTGCATATTCGAACGGTGCCGCTGGGCGAGGGTCCCCGTAGGATTGCCTATCAGGAGGCATCTCAGACCTTTGCAGTGTCTACGCTTCGCATTGATGTTCACGGAAGAGGCGGGGCCAAGCCATTGCGAAACAGTGCCTCGACGCAAGCGCAGAATATTACCTGTAGCTCGAACATATTGCCCAAGCCGGGCGGTGGCAACTCCACGGCTGCCAACGCGGAGGTGGGCCAGGAGATCGACGTGCACAACCTGCTGGTAATAGACCAGAACACGTTCGAAGTGCTGCACGCCCACCAGTTTGTGGCGCCTGAGACCATATCGTCGCTAATGTCCGCCAAGTTGGGCGATGATCCCAATACGTACTATGTGGTGGCCACATCGCTGGTCATACCCGACGAGCCGGAGCCCAAGGTGGGCAGGATCATCATTTTCCATTACCACGACAACAAGCTCACCCAAGTGGCAGAGACGAAGGTGGACGGCACCTGCTACGCCCTGGTTGAGTTCAATGGAAAAGTGCTGGCCGGAATCGGCAGCTTCGTGCGCCTCTACGAGTGGACCAACGAAAAGGAGCTGCGCATGGAGTGTAATATCCAAAACATGATTGCCGCCCTGTATCTGAAGGCCAAGGGCGACTTCATCCTAGTTGGGGACCTGATGCGGTCCATCACTTTGCTGCAGCACAAGCAGATGGAGGGCATATTTGTGGAGATCGCCCGAGACTGTGAGCCCAAGTGGATGCGGGCCGTTGAAATCCTGGACGATGACACCTTCCTGGGCTCTGAGACGAATGGTAATTTGTTCGTGTGCCAGAAGGATAGGTGGGTGTAAAAACTGACATCGAATATGTATTTTTAATAATCTTAACTCCAACATTTTAGTGCTGCCACCACGGACGAGGAGCGCCAGCTGCTGCCGGAGCTGGCTCGGTTTCATCTGGGAGATACTGTCAACGTTTTTCGCCACGGATCTCTGGTGATGCAGAACGTCGGCGAACGGACCACGCCGATCAGTGGCTGTGTGCTGTATGGAACCTGCAACGGGGCTATTGGCATTGTCACCCAAATCCCGCAGGACTTTTACGATTTCCTGCACGGCCTCGAGGAGCGGCTGAAGAAGATCATCAAGTCGGTAGGAAAAATCGAGCACACCTACTACCGTAACTTCCAAATCAACACCAAAGTGGAGCCCAGCGAGGGATTTATTGACGGAGATCTGATTGAGAGCTTCTTGGATTTAAATCGCGAAAATATGCGCGACGCCGTCCAGGGACTGGAGGTAGAGCACCACTAAACTTGTGTTAAATATCGGGAGAGTAGGTCTAAATGTTGTTCCTTTTCCCTTTGCAGCTAACACTGAATGGCGAACGAAAGGGAGCGGAAGTGGAGGATGTCATTAAGATAGTCGAGGACCTAACGCGCATGCATTGAAGTTCTCTTTGTAAATAAGTATTGGATAAAGAGCCGTCACCACACGCGAATAATTCAAACTTACATGAAGCCTTGGTACCATGTATCCCTTTCAACACCTCAAATGGTTCTCTCACAACTATTCGTTCTAACAGCTGCGTCTGTCGTTCCGCTCGGCATTTCTCGAGTTCTTCGTTCGTGTTTGCCCCTTACAAATATTGACAAAAATGTAGCAAAGAAAATAAATTGTTTTCAAAGTGCGCGGCACGCGCTCTTTCAAAGTTGCGCCACAGTCACTAAATAATTTAATAAAAAATATACATTTTTTAAATGGGACAATATGGCTTTTAATGGGAATTTAACGACATGACATTTATGGACAAAACAATGAAACATTTTATCTTTAAAGGTTTTTGTAGCTCAAACAGCAAATGCTATTTAATCCAGTTACTATATTATCATAATGTGTATACCCTTGCAAGATTTTTAAATTTGAGTCAAAAGTATGCCGTTTGAAAACGTATTTATTAACCCAAAACAGAAATTTCGAAAACAACCAGCAGGTTTAATATTAATTTATTAATATATTTCCGTATTTGACCAAGAAACCTTCTCAAAACTAGTCCTTCTAAGCGATATAAACTTTAACACTTGCATGTTTGTTACCTAATTCAAAATAAATTAAAAAGTCTTCAGAAATATTAAAATAGTGGCTTCATGACTTCTAATATCTGCGTACGAGGCGTTACCAATTAGGGAAAGGTGTATCAAATCACACCCCTACTTGTTAATTAAGGAGATAACGTGTTCAAAATCATCAGCCCTAAATCTCAAATAAATTTAAACATAAAATGTTTAGTATTTATATAAACCGAGAACTATTAAAATAAGAAGCCAAATTTAAAATTAGCTAAACATAAAAAAAAAAGTAACTAAAAGAAACATAATAAATTGAGTTATTCCCAGAAAGAAAATCCCTCGACTAATACCTTCTGGCAACCCGCACGCATGCGCAGCATAGTTCGTCCGTTTACCGGCCACCGGGCACGTCCATCTCGTCTCGATCTGCCAGGAGGAGGAGTGGGAGGTGAGCGTGATGCAGGGGTGGTGCGGCGGCATTGGCGATTCATTCATTAATACACGCACACACCGACGAGCAGCCTAACGGGAAGGCGGCTGGAATGTTGCATGTTCAGCCACCACCGTAGCGACACCAGCAACTTTCCAGTGAAGGGATTGAGAGGGTCAGAGTGTGTGTGCCTCAAACGACTCGGTGTGTGTGTGTGCGATGGGGTGTATCTGTGTGCGAGATGTATGTGTATCCGTGTGAGTGTGCCTGCGCACTCGTCGCGCCTCCACATCACTTGCCGCCGCCGCCGCCGCTGCTGCTGCCCCCAGTTACTGCAGGCTGAGCTCGGTCCATTTGGTAGTCATTCGTTCGCCGCCTGCTCGCTGGTTCAGCTGCGCGTCCACGTCGTCCGTTCGAGATCCTGGATATTTAGCTTGTCGTGCCTAAAAGTTACACAAAAAATAAGAAACAAATGAAAAATAAAAATACAAACAAAAAGTTTAAACGAAAAGAGCAAAAAACAATTGCTAACAAATAGCGAAGCTCGTCAATAATCCCAGTAAACGGGCTCGTAAAAAAAAAAACCTATATTCCGTCAAACATAAAACTCGCTCGGCCGCAGCACATTTAAATTTATTTATTTTAAAATCGATGGCAGCATTCCTCGGTTAAGAAGCGCCTTTATATTTTATTTGCTCGGAGTCGGAGCCCTGCCAATTGGGATTACATCGACGTTCGCCAAGTGCTACATTACCAGCGGCAAAACGGATAGCTGCCCGAGGTGAGTGAGGTGGCGAGATTCCCAAATGGATGACGCGCTCAACCCTTGGAATCCTTCGAAGGAACCTTCCTTCTGCATAAACAAAAATAAGAATAAATAACAACCAGCAAACAAGTGAAATTCAATGCGAATTGTTGTGGGGGCAAAGGCATTTGAAAAACATATGTAAGGGAAACAAAGAACCCATCGCCGTCAGTGCCATCGAGGGCATGTCACCGAGTCTCTGTAATACGACGCCCACAACTCCGACAATGCCGTCGGCGGAGGTTACTTTTTGCGCCGTCGCGTCGTCGTCCCTGGCAAAGAATCAGAGAACTGATTGTTTAGCAACAATAACAATTAAACGAAAATAATAAAACCAAAAAAAAAAAAAAAGGGGAAACCATAAACCATAAACGCACCACTGCCGAAAACAAATATTCCGCGGCCCAACCGAAAGACTTTTTATAATTATGAAAAGGAAAATCAGCAAATCGAATTGCACTAAAAGTGTCCCCTCTCTGAGTCCGGGATCCCGGGATCCCAATCCCAGACGCTATGGTCATCAGCCTCGGCTTTCTGCAGAATCCGCTGCCAGTCCCCATTAAGCCAAAGTCAACGAATCTTTTTGGTTTTTGTTTATGGCCTTCTCTTAGGACCGGGGAAAATTAACAGCTTTCGATTCTTGTAATTTGGGTCTCTCTTCAAGTATTTTGGGAAGCTTTTTAGACTGAAATTCTTTGGATTTTTCGATTTACTCAGTATTTGTAAAGTTTTTACTTATAAGGATAATATGCAGAGTGGAGGAACTCTTTCTTAGTTAGCTCGTTTACACAATTTCCATCTCGGTGGAGTATTGTTTTGTTTACAAAGAGAGATGATCACGGTTTTAAACACTTTTTTATTTTCAATTTAAATAAACATAAGGAGATATTCATGAATAACGGGCATAACTACTTTTTTCAATAGAAATAGCCCTAAACGTAATATTCATAAAGTTAAGGTAATAACACATAATGTTTTCCAGACAGAACTAAACATTTTAAGATACTGTTTTAAGGGGTATTTTTTTATGAAATTGACTCCCAAACATTTTCTTTTTTTTATTTTTATATTTAAAGATACATTTTGAATATTATTTTGAATATCAGTTTTTTTTTTTTAACATAAAACTGTTGTTCAAACCTCTTTCTATTGACATTTGCTAAACTTTTAATTCGGAATATTTCTAATTATTTCTTCAATTAGATATTTCTATTGTTCCTATTTGTATTGTAGGATCATTTGTCTTCTTTAACACATAAAATTTTTTGTTGTACCATTATTATTAAGTATTCCCTTTCCAAAATTTTTAAACATGCTTAGAAAAGGAAAGTTTCATCCCGAAAATGTGCTTAAACAATGAAGAAAACGAAGTGAACAACTCTGTCAGGCCGAGTCGTAAAATACACCCAAGTCGGAGTAAAGTCCCCGAGTCTTCCTCCATCCTCCGCTCTCTGTCCCAACTGGATTTGTCGAGACAGTATGCGTTTCAGGTTTAATGTAGAATATGCAAATTGCGCGTAGCTAATTTGCATTTATGGCAAAAATAATAACTAATAATCTGGCAGAGGGAGGAGGGAGGGATGTAAGGGCAAAGCCGAGCTGCAGATGGCTATGGAAATGAATACGGAGATGGACCGATACGGATACGGAGACCAGGCGACAATGACACACGAGATATGTGCGAGAAAATTTACTATAATACTTCCAGGAAGGCAGAAAGAGAGTGCCGACCGAAAGGCGTAAAGCACGGCGTGTAAACAAAACAGCATTCGGCTCGGTTTTGGACACTGGTCGCTGGCCCCGAGAAGTGACCATGACGGGTTGCCACCTCCAGCTCCCCGGGTCTTCGGCTCCTAAGTTCCCCGCCTGCCTCCCAGCTGCAACACCGAAAGGTGTCGCGCGCCAAGCAAATTAGCGTGTGTGTCCAATTTGAAAACGAGCCTCGCAGTCTGCTTCTTCGGCGGGAGGATGTCCTAAAATTCAGGCACACATGTCAGCACTAGCAGAAAAATCGTTCATGGGAAGAAGTTTATTTAAATAACGAATTTAAAGACTTGCAAATATCAATCAAGCTATTACTTTATATGAAACAAACTAAATATGATGCAAAGATTACCTTCTGGATATACATTTTTCTATGTGTAACCCCATCACCATGTGCTTGTCTAGGCTCGGTTCCCTTGTCACGTGAAATCAAATCAGGCATTACAATTTCACGCTCAATCGCCAATGTAATTGAGCCGCACAGCCGTCCCTGTCCTAGTCCCGAGTCCTTAGAGCACTCAAGTGCCTAAGGTTGGTCCAACTGCCGCCACTTCGTCTGCCGCCACAAAATCCAATTGGTTGACATTGCCCGGCCATGAATCCGGGATCGGATAAACGTTTTTCCGGTCGGTTCCCCCCCAGCTTCCGTATAAGTAAAATGGCAGTCAAGCGTGGCTGGCAGCTGGAGCAACAGTTAGTACATTTTCACACCCAAAAACGAAAACGAAAACGAAAACGACAACTATAAACTATTATATTTATGTACACTGTTAAAATATTTTTATAATTTTTACCACCAATTGTTTATGTCTTAATTTATGCGTCAACACGAATTCCTTCAACGTGGCATACATTCTGAGAGGGACAAACAGTCTCGGGGTTTTTGGGATAGTCCTCGCCACATGTCCTGCGCTCATTGTTCGGCTCACGTTCCCGTGTTGATATCGAATTGGTTCGATCTCAGAAGCAACTTTGTTTCCAAGTGAGCAGCAGCAATAGCTGAGATCCTGGATGTACTGTTGTCCTTTCTGCATCGTCTTGCCAGGCCGCTATCGGATAACAGGCCCGCATGCACGGTTCGTTTTCGTCCTCATGTGTCCGTGCATCCTTGGCGCTTCGAAACCTCAGTCGTTTTTTCTTCTTTATGAAAAAAGGGTTTGAGATTTTTGTGCCGAAAATATGGGAATCTCAGTGTCCGATGGGCACATGCATGTGAATATTATGCCATCATCGAACGTCTTAAGATATGCATCTAGACCTGTGGGTTTGACTGACATGCAAGCATGGCAAAGTTGAGGGCTGTCCCTAGACTAAGGGACTATTTACAAATATGTTCAGAGGGAATTGTAAAGAAAGAAGTCCTGAGGAAGGCTATATGAAATTTATATTTAATACAATTTATATCACGTGAAACCTTTTCCAATAAAAGGTTCCCGATCACTTGGCTTTTCTCTAGTTCGCTGGCATTCGTGCGGCGCCACTGGCAAGTGAATCACAACTGCACACAATCTTCTCCAAGAGGGACTACAAATAAGAAGAATATTTAAAATTTTTGCACGTTGTGCGAAGATAATGAAAGATGTTGCAGTTGCAGCCCAGGCACTAGCAACAACACTGCGCTGCAGCTCTGCAGCTGAGGGAGCAAATTGTGCTGCGCGTGCAAGAAATTATGAACGTCATATGCGATTAGCTCATCGACGACGCCAGCCAGCAGCAAAACAAACAAAAAACAAAGCCAAGACAGAAGCCGAAATATTGTAAGACACAAAAAACCAGTGGCAGCTGGAAAAGGCATTATCGGCAGCGGCGACAACAAATCGGCAACACGTGCCAAGTAGCCGGCTGACAAGTGCCAAAAGATACTCGCTCACTATTCGTGATCGATCAATGAATGAATCGCGTAAAGTCCAAAATACGATACGATGACAACGGAATATGACAAATTCTATATTAAGCCTTTCAGGGTATTGTAGAACTCTTTAGAATAAAGGCAACATGACATTTTCTGATAAATTAAAATCATATTGAAAGAGTAAAGTAAAAATCTTCTATAATTTGAATATTATAGATAAACCCACTTTCACTTGAGGTCTTTCAGAACCTTTTAATCTACTAACTCTACTCGCAATCATTTTTATTGTCAAGGTATTTATTCCAACTGGTCGTGAATGGGTCAAGTGCTGATCAAAGCTCTCTTCATGCACATAAGGGGCCAATTCTTGGGCTTGTATAACTTTTATTATAACTGGCGTCGCCCTCCGATTTTTTGACTGAACTCAGCAAAAGTCGCGAAGAAAGTAAAGTCGCTGCGATTCGGGTGAAATGCAACACTTTTTGCCAACGCCGCACAAGTCAGGGTCGCCGCAGCTTCTGTTTGTTTATTTTCACCAGCTTGTGACATTGTCCGCGGCGAAGGCGACATTGGAACCCCAGCCCAGCTCGGCCCAAGCCAGGCCCGGCTCGGCTCGACCCAGCTCAGCAGAAGAGCTGATGCTCTCAATACTGTTCCACCAAATCCAAACGAAAGTGAACTTCGTCGGATCGGAGAACCCGGAGTGCCAGCAGTACTGAGTCGGGCCGAGAAAAGCTGAGCGGAGCGGAGCAGCGGCGACGTCGCTGGCGGTTAGAGCGTTTTAGTTGCGGTCAGCTTAGTGTGGAATCAAGTCGCAGTGCACCCAGTGACCAATTGGTGGTTGTCGTTGCTTCGGTTGCCCCGTCGTTGAGCGCGTTTTATGTGGCTTATTTACGATCTCGTGGACGTCTCGCCGCGTTTCCATCTTGGCCCGCGACTCCAGCCAGCGATGCAGCCTGCACTCCCGGCAGCCGCCCGCTTATGAGATGGATCCAAAAAGTAATAATCAACAACCATCGGGGATAACCAGTGCTGCACATGAAGAAATTTGTATTAATTGTGATTGGTTCTTTTGAAAAGTGACATTAAGAAGGATTGAACATTAAAAAACGCCTTAATGACCAGGTTTTCTTTCTTGTTTGTTCAGACACAAGTAATCAAAATACATCCAAAAAGAAAAAAGTAGCATTTTATATATATAATTCAATATATTTTTCACATAAGAGATCCTTATATAGGAGACTATCGTTTTCCCAAAAACCAAAAAAACTTTAACATTTGATTAACTTATATTTGAATCTCCCAGGATCTTTTTCTTTCCGTGTGTTGCAGCTGCCAAGTGTTTGTTTTTACAGTCTCG